TCTCTCCTTCCTCGGTGGCAAACTCCCTCTCTGTATTCTGGCCACACTGGCAGCCATGCAGTCCTCTGGCTGTGCCCTCATCGAGCACTTAGCACATACGTCTTTGCATTGCTGGGCAACCCTGTTAACTCCTGGAGGGCAGACTGGGTCTCGGAGTCCATAGTAGCCCTGGCCTCCTCGCCCACTGCTTACACATAGTAGATGCTTTACTCAAGTAGACTGATGACTCAGCAGGTCATAGGTGTTTATGAGCCTTGACCATGGGACGGAGACATTGAGCTAGATCTCCAGGTCCCTAATGAATTAGAAAGTCCCTTCCCTCCAAGAGGTCACCGTCTGGTGTGGAAGACTGATTTTTCCTCCTCTAATAGAAGGTGCAGGAAGAAAAGAACACAGAATTCCAGGTTTTTCTAAGGAGGGAGACTCACCCAACTTAGGAACCCAGAAAAGTCTTCCCAGGGCCCTGGTGGTCTGAGCTGGGCCTTGAAAGGAGGGTAGAATTCTGGCAGGTGAGAAAGAAGAACCATGCAGGCAAGGGCCTGGCGTGGGTGCGGGTGTGCAGGGGAAGGCAGAGGGTGAATGCAGGGACCTGTGAGCTGACCCAGGCTGGGGAAGGCCCTGCGGGGCTCGGCCTCAGTCCCGCTCTGCCTCTGTCTACACCGCTCTTCACGGATGCTTGGCTGTTCCCCGGAGGCAGGCCTTGGGACCTGGGGTCCTAGGGACCAGGGGGGTCACTTTGTGTGGGGAATTCTGCCTTAGCATATAAAACCCAGATCCCTTTCCCCGCGCCATCTACCCTCCCCCGCCGCAACCGCAGTGAGGAGCCTGCTGCCTCAAGGAAACGCCACCTCGAAAAATCTGCTCCTTGAAGAGAGGAGCAGCTGGTCCCTCCCTGGTCCTTCCTTCCCTGCTCTCCCTCTTCGTGTGTGCCCTCTTCCCCGGGTCACTCACCAGCGGCCCACCCTTCCCTTCTTTTCAGAGGCATGGAGCCATAGGTGCCTGACTCTCAGGGTGTCTGAAAGTGTGTCCAGGCTCAGGGCTGGGGGTGGGGGGTGGCCAGGCTGTGCTAGTGTGGGGGAGTACACCAACAGGGGCGCAGAGAACCAGGTATGGGGGAAGGCCGGGCGAACCTTACCAAGGAGGCACGGTGTCCTTGAATATTTGCGGGGTTTTAGGGACTCCCCCTGTGTGCCAGGTGGTTACACCTGTGTCACTTCACCTTTGATGAATTTAGCAGTGTAGACGCTAGTCAGAGAAAGAGTCTCTGCTGCCATCCCTGCCCCAGGAGAGCCGATCCCACGCACCGACCCCGCCAGCTCCGGCTACTCGCAGTCCCGTTCTTCAGGGTTACGGAGCACGCGCGTGCAGCCCACAGCGTAGCCATGCCAACTCCATGCAGCACACTATCCCAGCTGGGGAGCGCTAGCTAGAGGCGGCGGGGGACGCTCCAGTGTCCCAGTCCTGCCAGATGCCCACCGGGCCGTGGAACCAGTGGGTTTGAGGTTGTCAGAGGTCACCCAAGTCAACCTCCTCATTTGACGTTTGGGGATACTGAGAGCTGGGGTAAGTCGTCCTGTGCCACATAGCTGACCATGGAGGAGGGACTGGAAGCTGAGCCTCCTGACCTGCTGGCCAGCGCCCTCCCCCTCCCTGGGCTACGCCGAACACCCCCCAGGTCTGTGGCATTTCATTCTGCCGGATGAAGACAGGGCCCCCGGCAGGGAGGCCAGCTCTTGGCCTGGCAGGGCAGAAGCACAGAGTGAGGCAGAGGTGGGATGGTGTGGGCCTGGGTAGAAGGAGCCATTCCTTCCTTAGCGAGGTGGGGCTTTCTTTGGCCCACGTGACCACAGAGGCACAGGTCACTGACCTCGGTGAGAACAGTGATTTGGGCCTGGACCACCCCGTTCCACTGTCACCCGCGGGGGCACTGGCTCAGTCTCTTGTGAAGCCAGGTGTTTGCAGGCCTGCGGGTGGGCAGTGCTGGGCAGTAAAAGGGTGCCTGAGCCAGTGCGCCGGGCTGGACACGGTAGTGAGCCCCTGAAGGCAACGGGTCTCAAGACCCGGCATTTGACAGTTCATAGAGAATGTTCGCCAACAGGACTGTAATTTGCCCCGTGGGGCGGGGTTTGGGGGCCGTGTCCACTTCCTGGGCAGGCGGTTCTCAGCAGAAGTGGCTGCGAGTCCCGGGAATGGAGTGAGCATCTCTAAGCTCCGTGAACGCTCTCTGGTACCGGCCCCGGGCACTGCCCTCCACTGATCTGCGCTCCTGCAATGCTCCCATTCCTCTCCTTCTGGCGCACCGTACTCCTTGTGCTTCTGGCCTGCCAGATCCCCAGCGACTCTGCAGACTTCCCTACTTCTAATCTCCCTGCACCACCTCTGACCCAGATGCCAGTTGAGTGGAGAGGCCCAGGGGAGCCCCGAAGTCAGGCCCTGCAGGGAGGAGGGTCCGGGCTGAGGAGACACAATGAGCCTGCACACAGAGTCCACCTCTGTGAACTGCTTCCTTCTGGAAAGGGTGGTGTGGTCACTGAAACCGGGCGGATTGTTCCTTTTTGTCTCCGACTATGGGCAGCTTGCAGGGAAATGTGTGGAGGACCTTTCCCGGCCCATCTGGGCCTCTTGTCACCTCCTCTGTACTTATTTCTCCTTGACACTGACTTTTAGACTTTTCCTCACGTATTTCTTTGCTATTCTCTGTATTCTTGCGAGGGGCTCTTGGATCCCTGTCGTGTTAGCTGGGGTGTAATAAGGAAACGGATAACACCAGGACTTAAAGAAAGTGCGAGAGGTTTCTACTTGGCCAGTTACCAGGGCGTTCAGCTCCCACAGAAGCTCAGGGTCTGGAGCCTTCCCGCTAATGTTTGACTCTAGTCTGAGGCCATCAGTGGGTTCGGACTGCTCCAAGGAGAGCCCGAAAGGGAGCAGGTGTATGAGAACCAGATTGCCCTGATTCTTCAGGACCTCCATTGGGGTGGAAGGAAACAAAAGGAAGGGGTGAGGGGCAGCACTGCAGGTGCCAGAAATTAGCAAATCTCCGGCCTGCCTCCCCCCCCAACCGGCAGAGGATGTGGGCGGGGCTGCATTGTGACTTTCGTGGGCCGCAGACACTTTCGCCTTTGTGGCAAAAATGGTATTTTATGACTGCTCTGGTAGAAAGATGAATGTAACCCTGGCAGGATTCATTATTGTAGATTCATTTTTCCCCCTGAATTTAAAAGAAATAAAAATGAAAATATTTTCTTAGCCCCTGGAAGTACCGCGGGCCCAGGCTTGTGGCACTTTGCCTAAGGCATTGGCCCTGGCTCAGGGTGAGAAGTGTCCCTGGACTTAGGCTGACTTGGAAAGGGCCCCATCCTGGAGCTCTCCCACCATGTGCCAGCTGGTGGCTTGGGCGCGGGGCCCTGGGGTTTCTGCCCCGTGGGGAGGGGACAGGTGAGCTCCGTCTGTGACCAGAGAGTGCCACCATTTTGCGTTTCAGACAAGGAAGGTGAGACTCGGAGGAGGAAGCTCTCTGATTCCCAAAACACGGAGTGGACATCTAGAGTGGGAATGGTTGGTCCCCGTGGGTCTGGGCAACCTGTGGGACCCATTACCACCATGTGGCAAGGGTCTCCTGACCGAGAAGCCCCCTCACGTGGAGTTCATGGGACTGTGTGTGGGCAGAGTCTAAGTTTGTCACTGTCCTGTCTATGAAGAAAGGACCTATTAAGAAAAATGAAAATGATGGGCGCCTGGGTGGCTCAGTTGGTTAAACGTCCGCCTTTGGCTCAGGTCATGATCCCAGGGTCCTGGGATCGAGCCCTGCGTAGGGCTCCCTGCTCGGCAGGGAGCCTGCTTCTCCCTCTCCCTCTGCCTGCCGCTCCCCCTGCTTGTGCTCCCTCTCTGTCTGTGATGAGGGGGGATGGTTACGCTACCCAAGCAGTTTGTTATTTTCAAGCCCCAAAGCAACACCAATTTATGTTTTCAACCACCACACAGTAAACCTTCGGGCCACACCACAGGTAGTTCATACATAGTCTTTCAGGCACGGTTCCTGAGACCTTTACTAAGCTGTGCGCTGCGAACAGAACTCTATAACCCTCTATTTCTTAAAAAATAAACCCAACTTCAGATGGCCAATGTGGCCCAGATTTGTGAGTGTTTTCTGAACGTTCTTGCTTGGAGCAGAATGGCAATGAGGCACACCTCTCAGCTGCTGGAGTGAGGGGGCCTTGCAAATCTGTACCCCATGACCAGCCACCAGCAGCAATGGCTGTCACTACTCACTGCCCTCAAAGGGAAGAAACACACAAAATCACCCCAATACCAAAAGCAGTAACAAATAGCTCTTTGGAACCCTGGGGATTTCAGCAGACCTGAACTTGACCTTGAAACGCTCAAATGGCACCACAAGGAACTTGGGATATGTTACATACAAGAGACTTTGCTTAAGCGACCCCTCTGTCCCTCTCACTGTTGGACCTCACTTTTCCATACGCTACCCTATACTTCCGAGGACCCCTCCTTCTGGGACTTCCTGCTTTCGCAAGAGTGAATGTATTTAATTTAATGATTGATCAGGATCATGAGTTGCCAGGTTTCATTTTTTTTTAATAATGAAAATCCATAAGAGTTTAAAATATTCTTAGACACACCTAGTGGGCAAACACCACTGACCTCCACGTCCCCGTGAATTCACACATAAGCTAGCGAGCACCTTGGTGCTGGCTGGCCCCCTTTGGCACCAGAACACAATAATTTATTAAGCTTCAATACTTAATAAGTGTGCACAAATATCATGCAAACATATGCCCATACTCACAAACAAAAAGTGTATTAGAGTTGTAGACTTATACAAAACATCTTGTAAACAAAGGGAAAGAGGTTGGCATTCTCTGTACAAAATATGCAGGTTTTTCTTTTTTTTTAATAATCTGTAAGATGCATCATACTTCTGGCATTTTCAAAAAGTGAAAACTGTATAAAAATAAATATTCTATGTACAAACACACACACAGGCCAATCCCAGGTTAGAGGTATCACTGCAAAACAAAAACACACACAACAAAGTAGAGTTAGTGTCGGTGGGTTTGTGGGTGTCTCCTTCCCTTGTGGGAAAGGAGTGTGCTCTTTGGAGGGCTGGGGTGGTGGGCAGCTTTGGATAGGGGCACCACCGCCCCCTGGGTGGAAGGCCCTGGTGCTGTCTGCACCCTGAAGACAGAGCATCGCTTTCACCGTCCTGTCACCCCCTTGGTGGACACTAGAGGGCATCTGCTCTCCATGTGGCCTTTGGAGGCCCAGCTGTGGATGAATCACTCCATCTTCTGGACTGCATTTATGGCGTGAACCAACAGAGATGAGGCTCTTGGGCTGCTTCCCCAAGACACTGTAGCTCTTGATAGTGACTCTTCTTCCCCTGCTAAGCTCAACCACTCGCATCTCCTGGTCAGGGATGCTTTGGGTACCTGGGCGTGTAGGGACCCCGCCTTGGGCCTGGTGTCTTGGTGGTTTCACTACTTTTAACCGAATCCTGTGAACTAATGAGATTCTGGGCATTTAGCACAAAGGAGCTATCGTCTGATTGTAAGTGTGCATCTGCTGTCACTGAGACAGGGCTAGATTAGCTAAGCACCAACTCGTGGACATGCTGGGGTCTCCAGCCCCTTTATGAGGACAAACCAACACCTGGAGACCACGGGGTGAGGGCTGTGAGACATCTCAGCAGGAGCAAAGTGGAGAGGGGCTGTGGAGGAAGGGTGAGCAGCACGTTAGGGCTTCTGGATTAGCAAACTGATGCCCTTGTCAAGGTGAGGAGCCCTGTGCTTTGGGGGCCCTGGCTGGGTGGGGTGATTTTGTGCAGGGGCACAGCACTGTGGTGTCAGACAGTTTTAAGGATGGCAATGCCAAGGGCGAACAAATGAAAACTCACTGCTGGTAGGAATCCTGGGACCCCGGGAGGGGCTGGGCTGCAGGACTCGTGTGTGCAAACATGGAGCTCTGGCAGTTTAAGTTCAAGGGGAAGGGTAGAGCGGTGACCCGGCCAGTCTCTAGGAGGAGGTAAGGAAGTGATGGGAGTGTATAGTTTAAGCAACTCAGATTTCCTACATCTGGATAAATGTCATCATGTGGCTTAATGGCTTAAATGACCTTGTCTGAACACTGTGAGAATAGCTACTGATAACTAATTTTAAAACGTGGTCTAGTAGTCCTTGGAGGAAAGGTGCTGTGGAAATTAACCACACAAAGCATAAGATGTCAGCTGTGTGGCTACATGGAAATTCGAGACGCTGGGGTGTGTGGATGCCTTAAAAAGCATTTTAAAAAGTTCTCTAAGTGCATGCAGTGTGTGGGATGTTTAATGGGCACCCTGCCTTCGGGAGCATTCCTTCCTTGACCCACGTCATTTGCAGAGAGGCCCAGGATGGAAACTGCACGTGCTTAATCACACTTGAGAAGGGGGCCGCAAGTACACCTGTGCCCTCAAGGCACCGCAAACCACTGGGCAGCCTTACCTTGTTCCAGCAACCCTGGACTGGTAAGCCGTCTTCACCCTATAGTGAGGAAGGAAGGCAGACGGCTCAGACTCCGAGACAGCCCCCCAAGCAGGTGGGACGGGAGACAAGGGGCACAGACACTGCGGCAGCTGATCAGGATGCAGCCCACCTCTTGTCTATTTCTCTTCTCTGCTGCAGGGCAGAGCCTCGGAAGGGGCTGGGAAGCCAGCCAGGCGGACTTCCCATTGACTAGGGTCCCATGTAGTTGTAGTGCGAGGCCAAGAGGGGCTGCCCTAGCCTGTCGGGTCAGCCCTAGCCTGTTAAGGACAGCCCTAAGCCCTGCGGGTCTCTGCTCTGGCTGGACTGAGGGCTAGGTGCTCCTGGGTAAGTCACTCAGCGCTTGGCGGCCTGTCTCTTCCTCCGTAAAACCTGGGGAGGCACGGCTCTGTGAGATGGTCGCTACGGTGCCCCCAGCTCTACTATCTCAGTTGCTTCTCTTCCTCAGTGGTAAGAGGAAGACGTCTAGGCAGGTCCATGGGGTAAGCATTGAGAAGGACGGGCCACAACGGGGCAAGCCGCCTCACAGCGATCACCACGTGGCCCTGAGGTGCCTTCCGCAAGGCGACGCAGGCCTCTGGCACAGCCCTGGCCATCACTGGGAATTTGGGGAGGGGGGTGAAGTGGAGGATGGGATGCTGTGCGCCGTTTGTCTTCTTTGCTGGCGGCCCCCCCGCGGAGCACCTGAGTCTTCTTGGGGCCCGATGTCCCGGCTTCTCTGGCAAACCCTTTGGGGAATCTGGAACTTTTGTGAGACAAAGTGGGGAGGGTGGGGCTGAGCTGGGGCACAGATCTGGCTCTCGGTCCGTGTCTACTAGAACTGCAGCCCAGATTCTAGAATTCACAGTCCAGGGCACAGCAAGGATGGACACAGGGTTTCAGGGGGACCGGAGCAAGTGGTCAGCCCAGAGGCAGTCGAAGGGGAGCCCTCTGTGCCCCAGACCAATCCCAGCACCACGACAGGTGCCTAAACCGCTCACCTGGCGTTCAGCAGGCAGCCGGCCCGACACGGAGGGCCGAAGAAGTCTAGCTACCTTGTGCTAAGATAGCTGCCCCTGCCCCCACATCCACAACAACACAGCGCAGGAGACGGGGAGAAGAGCAACGGCAAGAAACACGGTTTGCATTAAGGACCAAATAAAGATGACCTTCGTTGTCCCCTCTGGGTCAGGGAGGGTCTGCAGGGGGAGGTGGGACATTCCAGGGCCTCATGAAGACCTTCTGCCCCCTTCCCCAGCCTGCCACGGTGCAACACTCCACATGACTCTGGAAGGGAGAGGAGCCTCCGCGGGCCACAGTGGCATTCCCATTGGCACATGAAGGTGGCGGGGGGGGGTGCGGAGGAGAGCGAGGCAGGCAGAGGGAGCGTGGGAGAGAGGTGGCTGAAGCTGCAGCGGGCGGGACTCAAGGCGCTCAGACCGTGGGAGGCATGTGGCAGAGGGGAGACCTGGCTGGCGATTAGCGGAGGTCTCTGCAGGGGCCAGGGAGTCCTCCCATGGTTGCATGCTCGGGTTCATGGGGCCGGGCGGTGGGGAAGTGGGGGCGGAGAGCAGGGGTGTCAGTGGTGGGGAAACAGGAAGGAAGCTACTCTGTGCTCTTTTGTTGCGTGCAATGGTCCTAAAAAGTCTCTACACGGGGCTCTGTGGTCACCTCTCAGGGTCACAGAGCATATTTTCTTATAACTTTTTCCCTTCTCTTCAAAGATAATTCCCGTGGGACCCTGGGGCGGGATTTGGGACCCGGAGCCCTCATCTGACTATTGCTTGTATAAAAATAGCTCCATGAACTCCAGAACTCCTGGGGACATTTAGGAGAGAAGGAACCTTTTAAACCAAGTGCCTTGGCATGAGGGGCCATCTTCTATTCCCCTTAAAGGGAGGCGAAAAGATAGCTGTGGGGGCGAGAGTGTCCCTGCCCCGAGGGGGCTGGCGGCTGGGGCCCAGCTCGAGCCGCACTGTGGCCACTCCGCCGGGACATGCTTGGAGAGTATTCCTAAGTGCCTCCAGTCTCCTGTCTTCCCTTCCTCAGTAACATTCCCAACCATTCCATTCTCTTCCAGACTTGCTGGTGGTGAACCATCTAAAGATGGAAGGAAGGGAAGCCAAGGGAGGATCTTCTAGGGTCTTCCAGGGTTTGAGCAAAAGGGACGAGCCCTTTAGTCTCTAAAATCCTGCTCTTGGACTGTCCCCTGGTGCTGGTGGTATCACTGGGGCAGCGACCCCAGACCCAACCTGGAAGAATGGGCAGGGTGGCCCCCTCCTCTACCTCCGTTCTAGAACTTCCCAGTCTCCCCGTGTTTATGAGCATGCCCATCGGTCCCCTGCCACCTCACGAGATGGTTGAGTGGGAAGGGCTGTGGGACTGTCTCAGGCATCTCATTCAAGTGTTTTGCCAGGTGCTCAGCAGATGCTTTTGCCGAACCAACTGCCGTGTGTGAAGGAAGAGGAGTCAGGGTTGCTACGAGCCTGCCCAGAGAATCCACTTCCCTAGCTTTCTTCCTGGGGGTAGGATGGCTAGAAGCAGCTGTGAAAGGAGAATCATATGCAGCCAAAGCTGGCTTAGGGGGCGGGCGGGACGGCTCACATGAAGGGGATGTGCTTTTGAAGCAGCTGTGGGAAGAAGCCAAGAAAACATCCTGGCAAACTTTGCATGCTTGAGGGGGCACAGCGGGGGCCCCTGAGGACCGGCCAGGGCAGGGTGACCCTTAGCGTCTACAGAGAGAAGGGGCGGGAGGCATGTAGCGGGGGGCGGTGTGTGGCCAGAGAGGCATGCAGGCGAGAACCACACACGTGGGGAAGCCCGAATCGGCCATGCAGGCAGGGGAGGGTGATGCCATACCAATGGGCATGGGGCATCCAGTCCGTCCAGCCCTGGTAACCCCGGCTCCCCTTTCTCTCCTTTAAAACCTCGGTGTCCCTGTTCACAAAACCAACCACGATGATTATTTAGGTCAAGGCTGGCCAGCTCCGACTGTGGAGTGGAGAGGCCCAAGTCCCACCCCAGCCAGGATGCAGGACCCTCGAGGCAGCTACAAGTAGGGCCCCAATCCCAGCGGATTCCCACTTCCCAGATTCAACTTTTGTGCTCTCTCTGGCTTCCACGAGAGCTGAGCTTTGGAACATGAACAGCCAGCCCCCTCTCCTTTTAAAGACTCACTTGGAATAAACATGGATGAACTTCAAATTTAGCGTATCATAATTTTCGGAACCTTCAAACGGATTGTGAGGGCACTTGAGAAGCCCAGCTAATGTGCTACAAATCCTTCCTTATAAGCTTGTTTGGGGGCTCCTGGAGGGGCTCTGTCTACTGATTTTGGTCTACGGCTTCACAAGCTTTAGTTGCATGGCTAGTGGCCATGGGGAGGCTGTATATTAAAAGCCCCCTTTCTGGCCTTGGTCTACCCCGTCTGGGGCCTGGTGTCCTGCATCCCGACGGAGGATTCCAACAGCTTGAACTGCTGGCCACAGAGGTGGCCACGAAACGAAGAAGGCAAATGTGTGGCTCGCAAATGCTACGCTGGCTTCCAGAGCTATCCTGGAGCGGAGGGCCGAGGCCTGCTCCAAGATCCCTTTCCTCGGGGACCGGGTTCTTGTTTCCACACATCAATTGTTCTGCATCTTCAGAGGAAAGGGATTCAGCCAGAATGACTTGCAGCTGTGGTTTGAGGGCACCACCACCAGCAGGCAGAATTTTCCTGGCCAAGTGACAGGATAGATTTGACAGCATCAGTGTAAGTATTCGCTCACCATCTTAGCTTATTTGCCTTCTTGGTTTCCAACTTGCAAACCTCAAGGAAAAAACCAGAACAATGCAAGTGATAAATGAAGACATACCAACGGGCAGGGGGCATCTAATCCAGGCGCTCCTTGGTCTCCCTTATCCCCTTTGGACCCTCTAGAGCCTTTCTTCCCCCTCTCCCCCTGTAAATAATGGTTTAGTCCAAGAGAAAAAAATAACATCAAAACTTTAGGATCATTCATGTGTTAAGGTTAGAAACAGAAAAAGAAAAAAAAATAAGGAGGGAAAATAACATGGCTTAAATAGGATATTCTTCCCAATAGGATTTGAGGTCAGCACCCATCCCCACCCCTCTATAAGCTGGGAACCTTGGCTAAAGCCAGTGGGCAGGGCGGCAGGGGAGGAAATCGAGGCCTGCGGGCTGGGAGCCAGTAGGGCTCAGAGCTGGAGGTGGAGGGAAATGTAGGAGGAAGCTACTTGGGGCCAGTTTTGCTAATTCTGAGCCCAGAGTAGGCCTGGGATGAACAGGGCGACCTACTTCCTTCTCCTGGAGGGTCCATTTTTGAAAGACTTTGACCTGACAACTTTGGTCCCAATTGGTTTTCATTCCTTTGAAATTCTATTAGGAGGCAGGATGATTTTATTTAGAGCCCTGGGGTGTGTGTGTGCGCGCGTATGCGTGTGTGTGTGTGTGTGAATGTGTGCACATACTGTGTGCACGTATGTTTGTATGAATGTGTGTGTGCTTGGGAATGTGTATACACGTGTGTGCTTATATGAGTGTGTGCTTGTGCATGTGTACAAGCTCACACATGTACGTGTGTGTCCAGAGCTCCTGGGTGGCCCCTGGCTCTCTGATAGGTCCTCCCACTGTATGTGGGTCTCTGGTCTCTGGTCTGAATCAGAGGCAGCTAATTTGTACACAGACAAGTTGGTTCAAGGAACTCATTTGTTTCTGAAAAACTTCAGTAAGCTTCATCTTTCTAAATCGAACCCCCTTCTGTATGTGTCGGGGTCACTCTCCATTTCAAAAAAGGCTACGGGGACTTCTTTGCAGTGAATTTGAGTTTGGATTTTCCTATGTTGGGTCTCCTTACAAAGGGGCCAAGTGTGCCCGTGGGGAGTCTTCTTGGGGACAGTTCTCCTCTGCTGCAGAAGGCTGACACTCCCATGCGGGGGGGCTTCCAGAATGCTCCTCGAGGTGGACAAGGCCTTGAAGGCAGGCAGCACAGGGATCAGAAGAAAGGCTTGGAGCCAGAGCGGGTCCCGCCTATGACCGGCAGTGTGTCTTTGGCAAGTTACTCAACTTCTCTGAGCCTCATTTTTCTTCACCTGTACCATGTGGATAATAGCACCTGCCTCAAAACTTTGTTGTGATGTCTTTGTGCACATTTAATGGTGCCATTTAATGGTGGCAGAGAGTCCGTGCTCGGTAATGATAGCTGCTTCACCGTGATTACTGTGGTGACAATGACTTCCCGCGAGCCTGTCCTGGAGCCCAGCCGGCTGCCGCGGTTTGGCCCGGCACGTCTACCGTGTTCCCATAGTAGAAGGTTGCACGGCTCCTGGGGGTGGGGGTGGGGGGGCCAAGGGCAAGAATGTTTCTTATGTTTCTCTGAATCTTTGGAAATGCCTCAAATTTCTTGGTTCCAGAGGTTCCCTATAATCGCCAGTGGATTGTTCTGAGTTTTCTAAAGTGCAGACGCTGCCTTGGAAAATGATGTGTTCAGGAGGAACACACGTGTATAAGCGTATTAGGTGCCATCCCATTGGCTCTGAGCTACGCCCGCTGATGAGCATGCGACGGCGTGAACAGTCCCCGAGCAGTGGACCAGCAAAACTGCTAGCTGTTTGACGGGAAGCCCCAGGGTAAACTTTCTCAGCAAAGTGGTCCCTCTTTCTCCTCGGGTCAGGCCAGTGTAAAAGTGAACGCAGTCGCCTACGTCCAGGGGCTGGACAAAGCTCCCGAGGAGTTGGTGGGGGTGGGGTTCCAGGTCCCGAATGATTTGCCTTCGGGCAACAGAGGGTCGGCAGCGGTGGCCCTGACTTTCAGGGTGTGTGGCTTGCACTATGGGGAGGCAGGTCCTAAGGGCCCAAGAAATGGCTTTAAAGCGGGTGTTCTTCGAAGGTATTAGAGTACTAGCTTTACCTACAACCGCCCTGCCTCCCACCCCCAAGGAGTGACAAGAAAGTGGCCTTGGTAAAGAGGGGATAGTAGGCGGGGAAAGGGCAAATAAAAGGTTTCTTTAAGAAATACAGATAAGGAACTTGATTTCAGAGGAACTGAGTTGAAGCTGGGAGAGTGGAGGGGAAAGATGAGGGGGATGGGGTCTGGCGATGGGGCGAGCGCGTCTGCGCCAAGTACCGAAGGAGAGAAGGAAGGAAGAGTCTGGCTTAGACCAAAAGAGATAACGGAGGGCGGAGAGATAAGGAGGCCAGGCGGACCTGGCAGAGCAGGCCTCTCGCGCACACCCCAGCATGCGCGCACACCCCAGCCGGGGCATCTTGGAGAGTGACAGCAACCGCCCTGCATGCACGCAGACTTTCCAGTTGGCTGGCTTGCAGGCAGCTCCACCCCTGCACCCAATTTTCCTGATGCCAAATGCCAAATTCATGCCACCCTTTATCTCCCCGCCCTTTTAAGTTAGCTCCACGTGGGACTTGAACTCACGACCCTGAGATGGAGACCGAGCTGAGATCAAGAGTCGGACACCTAACCGACTGAGCCACCCAGGAGCCCCTGGGGCACCCTTTATCTTGTGACGAACCTTTTCATCCTAAACGTGGCTCCTGGGCCAAATTCTCGGGGCTGTTAGAGGCCGGGAAGGGTGTCCCTTGTGACAAGGACAGGGCATTCTTTCCACGGCCATGTGTGCTCCCTTAGAAAACGGCCTGTTTTGGGCTCTGGGCCTTGAGTGCTACCACAAGGACCTTCTTCATTTCAGGAACGGGAGAGAGGCTCCAAGACTGTTTGCCTGGGTGGGACACAGAAGCGTAGTTTTAAGACGGGGTCCCCGTTCATGGTAAGACGGAGCAATGGGCTTGCGGCGCGCCCACTTGGGCCTCTCTAACGGGCCCAGGCATGACGTGCAGCGAAGTTCGAGAGCGGCCTGAGGCAGCCACCTTCTCATGCCTGGTGGGGCCGGGGCTCGGAACACCTGCAGCTTCGCCTTCACGAGCAACGGTGAGGCTTCTAACTAGAATGTCATCGAAGCCCCTCTGGTCTTTTCCTTTGACCAAAGCGTCACTGTTCTGAGCTTCCAGGCCTCAGGAAAAAGAACTGGCCATGGCAAAGTGCCGACTCTGCGTAGAACTTCCTTTGTTTTGAAGGCTTTCTTACGAAGCCCTCACATCTCCCCACAAGAGGTCTGCTAGGGCCAGTGGTATTAAGAGGTCTGTTTGAAGAGGTGAGGCGCAGGGGGCACTCTTCCAGGACATTCTGGCGTCCTGAGAGTCAGATCTCTCGAATGGAGGACACAAGCTGTTCCTTGATCCGCAAACCTGCTCTTTGGAACTAGTCAGTTGTTCTTTAGAGGTTACCGGAAAGCGAGTTCGTGCAACCTGTTTTCTGGACTTGACCTTTACTAAGTGACCTATTGCTAACTGACAGGTGGGGCAGGGGAAGGTTTGTAGGGCCTCAGGGAGGAGAAGTGGAGGAGAAATATTCTCCCGCTGATTCCTGGGGCCTCACTGGCTCATTCAACAACCCCAGAGCCTTGCCTCAGCACCGCCTGCCACCCGCCACCCGCTGCCCCTCCACCTGTGACACGGGCATCGGCCTGCCCCACCTCCACCTCCAGGGGAACGTGATCATCACTGCTTGTGCAGCCTTAGAATGGCTCACTGCCGCAAGCCAACTGAAAAAGTCGTAAGAAATAGTTAAAATATTAATTGAATATGCTAAAGACAACCAGAACACTTTAGAAATAAGTTAGAAAGGAGATTAGTATGCCAGCTAAGAGGTGGAATGATCAATTTTTTTTTTTCTTTTTCCTTTGTGGCCTCAGTTCTTTGATGACACAGGAAGGAAGGTGGGCTTTCCCGCCTGCCTGACCAGCCAGCACATTTCCGGAAGTAGGTCTGATAATTCCAGTGGTTTCTAGACTTGGTCTTCCATGGACAGTTTGGTAGGCCTCACTCTGCCTGCTTCCTCTTCTTTATAGAATATATGGAGCAAATTGAGTTACTTTCGACAAGCTGCCAGGAAGGAGAACTTAAGGCTAGAGAAGAGTTCAATAAGTATCTTAAATGGAAGAGACAGGAATTGGTGCAGGATATAAGCATACAGATTCTGGCACTTTCTATCCATGAACACGGTTATCAGTGTTCAAAGATCAGCTGGAGGACCTGGGATCTGGGAGCCACCTGTTCTGCCTCTAAAGCTCTGTGGGGGCTTGGTATATTTTGTCGTGGTCCTGGCCTGTCTCTCTCTCTGTTCTTCCACTCGTTCTCTCCTCCCTGAGACCCTTGGACAACGTGACCCACTAGAAGATGCGCTGGGGCCTCTACGTGCTGTGGGTCACACTCTGGGGACCACTGTGATGAAGCAGCAGGTGAGACCTTCTGTGAACAGACCCACAACTCATCTCTGCGTCTGAGGCGGTTAAATGGTCCCCGCTGGGCCCAGACGTGGCCTGTGTCAGATACGTGGCATGTGTCGCATCCTACCACATGGCTGTGGGGCCCGTGGACGTTCAACAGCTCTGTGTTGGTGATGATGGTAGAAACCAAAGGGACAGCAAAGGACCTCGGAAGATGCGATTCATTTCATGGTCCTGCGGGCTCTTTCCAAGAGAAATAATGGCTGTGATCATTTTTTAAAGGGTTGGCTGCTTACAACAGAAGTGCGCTTGTGCTTGGAGCCGGAATTTTTTTGTCTCTCACCAGTGGCCTGGGATGCCTGGCGAAACGAAATCTCAGAACGCTATGACTAGGCAATGGTGGGTCTAAAAATACCATTGAGGGGTCCATTGGCAGGGCGCTGCAGAGAGTGGGCACATGGCTCCCGTGGCTGGACGGCAATGTTAATCTGGTGACCACTGTGGGATTCAGTCTTCCATTGCCAGGTGGGAAAAAACCATGCTTCCATTTCAGCATTAGGCCCCAGGCTGCCTGCACGCTAGAGTAAGCTCTTTACTACAAAGCCTTTTAATTTCAGATGATTTACCAGGAAGAACTGTATTTGCCAGTGTTGGGTCAGGAATCCCCAATTGATCATTCCACCACATCATGAAGACATTAGTAACCACAGCCAAAGTGCAAGGGCTCAGACTCACCCGGTTTCCTTTGTCTCCGGGTGGTCCATGTAAACCCTGCAATAAATCAAAGAAATGAAGACACGTTCATGAGAAAGGACAGGAGGGCCGTCCAGGCCTTCCTTCCAGGCTCAGAAAGGTCTGATGCCTAATTCATCAGAGACAGGCTTAATTATCCCGGTTTTACAGAAAGGGACAAAGGGACTTGCCCTCTAGACACATAATGAGGTATGGACGAAGCCAAGAATAAAGTTCCGGTTTTCTCTCTCGGCAGCCGAGGCCCTGGCCTGCGGCCCTGTCCCTCGCCTGTCCCTCCTGCTGACGGGCGGCAGGTGCTGAGGACATGGTCTGTGCACGGAGCACTCTCCCGGCAGAAGAGGTGTATGCATGGCTCTCCCGCCAGGCTCTTGCCAGAAAAGTGACCCCAAAGCTGCTCTTTTCAATTATAGGCTGTCCTCCACGACTTCAGCTAGGGAAGCAGCACCAGGCAAAGACTGGCTGGGGTTGGCTGGAGCAAACTTGCTTGGGCAGCCACGCATGGAGCTGATGAACAGATGTACAACCTTCAAGTGGGTGGAAACAGTGGTCCTGGCTCTCTTAGGCCATCCACTTTTACAACAACACAGCAGGAAAACTGGGGGAGGCAGTCCTGTCATGAAACACCTCCTTCTTGCATTATAATGATCTGGCTTTGCTTCTGTCCTTCCTCGACGGCCATGCACATTCATCTGTGAGACCCCCCCTGCATCCCATCAGATGGTCCACGTGGCTGAGGACCTGGTACCCCAACAGGGCCCACGTGTCCCCAGGTTTGCCTCAAGCAGTGCCCAGCCGGGAAGTTCCACGACCACGGGGCTGTTGGCAGCTTCCTCTGTCATGGAAATCAGCATTCTCACTCGGCTCTGGATGTTTGCTCCAGGCTCTGGGTAGTCTGCCCCGGCAGGGCTGCTACGGGGGTAGGGCTGGGGGAGAGAAAGCTCCAGTCGCGTGACACTTACAGGAAGGCCAGCTGCTCCTGTTGGTCCCGTCACCCCCAGGTCGCCTTTGCTGCCCTGAAACAGGAGAAAGAAACCCATGAGCCCCCCCTGATGTGGGAACCACCTTCCGCCCACTGTTTTCTGTTTCTGTAGGAAACTCCGGGAACCTCTCCGGTCCCCTTCAAAGAGCCCTCTATGAAGCAAGGGCTCAGCGGAGGGTGTGACCCGTGTGGACTCCACCGCGGGGCGGGGGGGGGCCTTGGAGGCCTCCCCGCCCCTCTCCAGCGGAGCCCATCCCCCAAGGCCCTCCGGAAAGACTGGACAGTGCCCTGAAGCTATTAGGTGGCCTCAAGCAGAAGCGGGGGGGGGGGGGGACAAGGAGCAGGAAATGAGCATGGACAGAGAAGAGGGGGGGAGAGAGGAAAAGAGCTTTGCTTTCTTCTTTGAGGCCACAACTGTCACCCCTGAAAGCAGCCATCCTGGTCCCCAAAGTGGCTGTGATCTCGGGGAGGGACATCTATGCCCCTCTTCAGAAGCTCCCCACCCTCTGCACCCTCAGCCATGCGGTCAGTGAGCGAAGGGGACGGAGCCTCCCCTGTGGCAGAAGGTCCACAGATGCCCCGCACAGGGTCTAGCGCCCCCGCAGCCCTCTGGTGATCTCCCGCCCCAAATGTGCGGAACCTGGGGCCTGGCCGGGAAGAGCGGACCCGGATGGGATGGGCGGCCCTCCTCCTCCCCTGAGCCAAGGCCCCCAGCAGCACGGCACACGCACCCACTCCACGGGAGACAGTGACTGTGGGAGCTGGCCTAACGCCCCCCGGCCTCCTGACTTCTTGATGTTGCCCGGGATTTTCTTACACTACCTGGCACTCCGTTCCATGCTGTCTCCCTAAATCATCACAAGGCTTAGGTGTGTCTGCTCCCTGGGGAGCAGCACCTGGGGCCCGGCCAGACGGAGCCTGTGACCGATGCCAGGTGACCGGGAGCTGGGCACAGGAAGCTGTCCGTCTGTCCACTCATAGCGATAAAGTGAGCAACCCAGTTCGGCCGGCTCCCCCACAGGCTATTGTGAGGGTCACCGGGCGAGGTCACGGATGAGGTGCTTGCTGGGCTGGGGGGACGGGTTGGGACTGAGGACCTGCGGCTGGGCGGGGGCGCCGGACCCCTCCTGGTGTGCAGGCTCTCTGGAGTCTGAGCACTCACCCTCTCGCCCTTTGGTCCCGCTGGGCCTGGGACTCCGATTGGTCCTGGAGTACCCTGGGGGAGGGGGGCGAAAGAAAGCAGAGGTGAGAGGGGCCTGATGTCGGTGGGGAGCCCCGGGAGGCCCGCCCGGCACTGGAGATGAGCAAGGTCCAAAGGCCCATTTTCAGGGTTGGCGAGGGCCAGGCTCGTTCAGGGCAGTCATCGGACTGGGGCGTCTTCCTGTTTGGGGTGGGGGCCTCGGGCAGAGAGGCCTCCCCCTGCCTCAGAGCCAGATTGGAGGACGGAAACCCTTTTGCTTCCCTACCAAGCTTGCCAAGGCTGAAAACAGTAGGAGAACTGCTGCTTCATTTGCTCCCTGAAGCGCTTGGGGGGGAGGGGGGAGGCCATCGGGGTGGGGGCAGGGGCCGGCACCTGTTTGCTGTTGCAGCTCCACATGCAGGGGTGGGGGGCTCATGCCACAGAGACCGATGCAGACGCACACACACAGAGGCAGGTGCGGGGGTGGGTCATTCAGCTACTGCTCACCCCACCCGCCCCACCGTGGGCCACCCTGGCCTTCAGCCTCTGTCCCCGTGCCCCGGCCCTGTGGGGCAGGCCAGACTGGAGAGTGATGGGTGCGCTTCCGGTGTCTGCAGGCACCGGCCTGGCAGCGAGGGGGGTCCCACCCGCTCTGGACTCAGGGCTCCGGGGGAGTCGGGGCAGCTGGAACCTTCGGCTTAGAGGCAGGGCGGGGTTGGCTATGGCACACTTAAGCACCTTCCCCAGGTCCCCGATGTCCACCCCGACTAGAAGGAGGTCTATAGTTCAGGTCTATATTGCGCTGCCTCCGTGTTTAGGCTTCCTGCTCAGACGAGGCCCTGAGGATGTGGGGCTGGCAAGTGGGCAGTTCCCGGCGCTGCTCCGGGCTCGAGCAAGTGGGGAAACACCGACTTACGTTACAAGAAAAAAAAAAAAAGAGCCATAAGACATCCTCCGTGCCCCCTCTGCAGCTATGAGGGAAGACTATGGGGTGTCAGAAATGAGAGCGGCCTGATCAGGGGTCTTGGCTGAGGACAGCACTGCAGGGTCACTGGCCGGCTTCAAGTCCAGCCTCGAAGGCCTATCAACGCTGAGATATTGGAGAAGCTTCTTGGCTCTCTGAGGGTCCGTTCCCCCCCCCCCCCGTAAAAGGGGGATGATGACACGAGTGTTTGCTTTTGAGGCCGCTGCCCGGTTGAAATGGATGAACGCACGTCACGCATTTGGCACCGGTAAATGTTAGTATTGGCAGGGCAGGTTATTCCTCCCATAACACTTTTCCTTTAAGGTTGTGATGTTGATTTAATGAGATAAATACAACCTGAGGTCCAAAGGGGACAGAATCTATGACTTTGCCCGGCTCCCCTCTGTCCGGCAAGGATGGAGGACAGTTTTGGATTCTCGGATTCCAGCCACAGATCATCCCCCAGCCCTGACCGGCCACCTGGGGAAGGCACGCCAGGTGCGAGGAGGGGGCAAAGGGGCGGACTCGGGGGCTGGGGTAGGGAGCACAGCCCAGAAAAGAGGTCTAGTCTCTGAATGGGAGAGTCTACAGTGTGGCCTCCACAAACGCGTGGTGGGGAGGGGCTCTGGAAAGGATGTGGCCTCGGGCGAGGCCCGTCGCCTCCTCTGCTTTCTGAGGGCACATGCCATAGGATGAGGCTCTAGTGGGGCTGCGCTTGGCCCTCCCCCTCTCAAAGCTCTAGGCTCCCGTGGGCGCCAGCTGTGGATCCCCTCCGCCTCCAGGCCTGTCCTCCCCTCCATAAATGAAACCCTCCAAATTCATCTTCCCCCCGAGTGTCATCCCAGCCAGCTCATTAGAACCTTGTCTTCCAGGCCTCAAAACTGTCCCACAAGGGCCAAGCCGGGACTCCCTGGCTGGTAGGGGCTGAGCACACACAGCTCTGGTTATGGCTCGTGGGCGGGGAAGTCCAGCCGCAGGCCCTGGACGGTCAGTGATCCCTAGACCCTGGGAAGGTGCCAGGCTTCAGTGGGAACGCCACTCCCCTAAAGACCTCACGGGGCGCTCTGGGAGGGGCCTGGAAGGTGGACAGGAGAGGAGAGACTCTTCCTGATGCTTCAGTGGTTTGTCACCGGAAGAAGGGCCAGGTGCTTTCTAGTCATGAGTAGGTGATGCCTGTTTTCTGGAATCAGAAAGAATGGAGAAAGAGGGGACCCAAGTGTTCCTCCTTTGCTCTGCATAAACCCCGTGCTGAGTTGCGGGGCGGCCAGGGCACCACAGGAAGCAGGGTCACGGGCCCGCAGATCCCTGAGCTGGGACTGTCCCATATGATCCTAGATGCTACACCCGGCCTCACCCCAGTACATACCAGAGGGGGCTGCACAGGACTAGGAAGCCCTTGTGGGCAGACAGGAGATGGACAGAGCTCACAGCACGAAGACAACACAGCATGACGGGCACATACAGACACTGTTGTGCTTGGTGGGCACGAGTCGTGGTCCCCGCCCCTGGGGCTGGGCTCCCAGGCCTCACTCAGCCCTCCACCCCATGTCCAGCGGTCAGGAGACCCAGATCTGAGGACCCTGGATCCATACGATGGCCAGGGGAACGCAGAGGAAGTCCACCCATCTTTGGTCAAGAGGCCTGAAGAAGCATTTCTGAACTGGGCACAGGTGGTACATTTCTGGTGTTGGTGATGGGAGAAGGCAGAACTCACTGGGAAAACGAGGCCACAGCGGGACAGGGACAGATGAGAGGGGTCACAGGCCGGGGGTGGGGTGGGGCGGGCTGAGGGGTAACGGAGAAGTGACACTCACCGGTGGCCCAGGCCTGCCGTCCAAACCTGAAGCTCCCTGGATGAAGGGAACATGTTTGACCGAAAGAAGGGGAGGGGAGGAACAGGGAGGAGAAAAAGGGACCGGGGGAGGGAAGAGGTGAGTGAAGCAGTGACTCCGGACAGACACAAATGCTGGTCATCAAACAAAACGGGAGAAATAAGCTTGGGAGGACAGGGGATGGTATTCACACGGAAACCAACAAAAACGGACACCGAGGGGCAGTGTGGCCGGCTGCCGAGCAGAGGCCGGTAGGGAGCAGTGCAGACGGCCCTTCTCATCCTGTGCCCCCTGCCCCCCTCTCTCCTGGTCGCGCCTCCCAGAAATCCCTCTGCCAAGGGGTTGCAGCGCTCTGGGGAAAGGGGTGCCGAAAGAGAATTCATGGAAAGGTGTCTGGAACCAGAGGGAGGGCATCCTTCCCAGGACGGGTCTCCCTACAGAGGGACAAGCCTATGTGAAGGGTGGGTTGTCTTCCCAGCCTTTTTTTTGCACGGCTGCGGAGACGGCCAGGCTGGGGAACCCTGAAGAAATCAGTACTGAGTTATAGCACCTGGCTTGGGAACGTGGGTAGAAGCTGGCCTGCGCTGGGGGTGGCAGAGGGGAAGGCCCTCGGATGTTGGTCCTCCCGATGCCTGACCTTTCTCTGGCACTGCGTGGTTTGCAAAGCTCAGCACAAACGCAATCCGTTCCTGTTCTCCCAGACAGGGGCCCTTTTAGAGAAAGAGGCTTTGGGGGCAGCTGACTGGGACAGAGGTCTAAGGCCACCTATGCCCTGGAGTAAACTGGCCGGCGGGTGGGATGCTAAGACCCACTTGCTATGTAGCATCCGGTGATATATGAGGTGCAAGCAGGTGCTCTGCCTCCAAAGCTGGGCTGGGAAGCTGCCCCCAGGACACACCTAGGAGACCCAGAGGGAAATCTGTCTAATGATCGCAATGTGACAAACCAGAGAGAAGGCAGTGGGGACACTCTAGCCCAGTAAGGACTGAGTTCTTAAAAACGGCTACCAGCTGAGCCTCAGAAATGAGCCTAGGCTTCAGGATTTTAAAGGTGGGGGAATGCCCCCAGGCAAGGGAGGACAGGGAAAAAGGTATTGGGTAGTAGGAGCCTCCAGGGTCTCCCTTCTCAGATTTAGGATCACACACTTAGGGGATGATCCTAACTCATGGCCTAGAGAGCTGAGGTTCTCCACCCCACGGCATCATCAGCATTTCCTGAGGGGAGAGGGGGAGCATAAAATAATAGAGATGCTTGGGCCCTCCCCCACCTCAATTCAACCAGAGTCTCCAAGAGTGAGCCCAGGGTAATGACTTGTTTGAAAAGCTCCAGGCAACTCCAGTGTGCAGCCAGCACTGAGAATCACTTCCGTAGGGCCAACAGGAAGAATTCCATAGGATGTTCTGGAAAAACAGGCTGCTACTCTATGGCATAAACTATGGAGGTGAAGCTGAAAATCCGAACTTCAACTAAATATCCACAAACTTTGTCTACGCAGTATCAATACTGACTTATCTTGAGACATCTGGAGCAGGGGGCACGGACTGGTAGTTTTCAGGCCATGTGCAGGCCACTGACATATTTGGCATGGTCTGCGGAGTTGCAAGTAATTTTGATTTAATGTTAGAAAATGGGGAGATTTCACATAAAATGCCAGATGTCCAGCTTCCTTGGAAAAATGAGACCATCTGGAAGTACTGGGCCCTCATTCCCCCGTGACGACAGTTAGCTGAACGGAGGAGGGACTGCTCTCCTTAAGACGGGATGCGTGGCCTCCAGCGTGCCCCAGTCCCCACCACTCCCTCTTGCCTCTCTGAAGTCCCCGTTGGTTGCCATTTGTGGAGATGCTGTGTTGTTTTCTTAAGCTAGCAAAAGTATTTCTCTGTACCCATGTCTCTACTGAAAGTTGACAACTTAAAGACAGGACCGGGCACTTTTGTCTTTCCTCTGGCACTTTCTTTGTTTATACAACCTGTTTGGTCTCTGCACCATTTGCATTTCGACCCCGGACTAAATTCTCCAGTATTCACTAGGGCCTTGGGGCTCTGAAGGTGGACAAGGGGAGATTTGTGGTTGAGTGGGGGCAGGAAGGCTCTTTTCTTGTGAGGAGTACTTAAACATTCTGGACACAGCTCAAGACATGGGAAGATGCCTGTTAAAGTCATCAGTTCCCTATAGTCTGTCAGGCACATCAGCTCCTTACATGTCCTACATCTGATGCACTAATGAGGGAGTGATCATACCTTTTGCTCTTGCTGTTTCGTTGCTGTGATTATATTAACCAGACCTTCAAGCTCTGCCAAGCTGGGGTAATTGGGCTTCTCTTTGTTCTCCTGCTCTTTATGGCTTCCCAGGGTGGGAACTGGCCTCGCGCCCAGGACAGAGGAAGCCCCAGTGGCTGGAAAGAGCCCCTTTGCAAGGCGATGGCCTCAGCAAAGGAGCGGCCTCTGGCATGGCCTAACCACTGACTTCATATGTGACCTCAAGTGACTCTCTCTTCTCTGGGCCCATCAGTAAAATGAGTAGATGGATCCGTGACGTCCATTCCGGCTTTCGAAAACCAAGCCACAAAGAGTGCCAGCCCCACTGGGGGATGAGGGAGGAGGAAGCCCAGGGCTCCAGGGTGGGTGGTAGAGGGCATGCACCTGGACAGAGGGGAGGCATTGATGGGGCCAGGAGCCCACTGGGGCTTGGGGCCAAAGATTCACCCAGGCCAGGCCCCCACATCTGGAAATGTAGATGCCTCCCGAGCAGCACCTCGCCCCAACCTGGGGTCTGATCTCAGGACAGGCTGAGATGAGAGATCTGAGTGGCCTTAGCCTGCTGGGACCAGAGAATCTGCCTTTGTACAAGCTTTTCTGCTGTAGCGGGTGCTGAAGATAGGGAAATAGGAGGGAGCTGGAGAACATTTCACCGTCTTGTTGCTCCCAGGTCCTCCAAGCTTGGCTCCCATCAAGGGCAGATTTTTATTGCCTCCGAATCAGGCACATGTAGGGCCTGAGGCTGTTCTTCAGACCACTTGAGGCTCTCCAGCTGGGGGCTCCTTGGGTGGGGGGCCCTGTCTTATTTAGTTCTGCCTTCTCTCCGACACCCAGGTCGGGACCTGGCCCAGAGGAAGCCCCCGGGAAGGGAGTTAGAGTCTACAGTCTTGCCCAGGCAGGAAAGCAAAACCACACGGAGTGTTCTGGAATGCTCAGAACTTTCGAACCCCCAGTTTTGCAGCAGGAGTCCGGCACGCCACCCCAGCCTCCTCAGGACCACCCAGCTAGGCTCCTCACAGGCTTGCTGGCTCTGAGATACTTACGGGTAATCCCAGCGGCCCTCGATCTCCTTTCTCTCCCTGGACACCCGTCTCTCCCTTTGCTCCATCTAGTCCTGCTTCCCCCTGAAGGAAAGGGAAGGGGGAGATCACACAAGGGTATGTCTCAGACAACTCGTTCTTGCATCCTGGGGTCCTGGAGACGGGGTGGGTTGGGGAGACGGGGGCAGGTAGAGGATGGAGGGAGGAGGGGACAGGGGTGGCTGGCCCACGGACGGAGGCTCTAGGAATCCTTGAATTCCTAGCCTGGTTCTACCTCCGTTAGACTCCTCGGTATCCCTGCGGTAATTGTGAGGTCCCCAAAGGAAAAGGGGATGGGTGGAGCAGAGACAGACCCACAGGGCAGTTCCAGATCAGGCTTGGGCAGAAGTGACCGTTTGCAGAGCAGAAGACTGGGGCCCTGCAGAGATTGGCTGGCAGGTGCCTAGAATGCCAGCATGGGAGCTCTGAGGCTCCCCAACTAATTGGGACGAAAAATTGCCCAACAGTCTCCTGAGGAATACTGCGGGGGGGGGGGGCACGGGACAATATGCCATCAGTCCCAAGGGCCTCTTATCCAGTTGAAATGCTTTTGAAGGGGGAGATTGGGAGACCCCCCCCACCCCGGCCAGAGACCAGTGGGCTTGGACCCAGGGAGGGGGCCCACACTACACCCCTCCCTGTCTCCACCTCTACTTCAGGGTGAGTAAAAGGTCTGGGGCAGGTTACTTGGAAAAGGATTTCATCCTTTGCTAAGACTCCAACCCATTACTCATAGGGTGGATTAATGGATGGGAAAATTCTAAATCGGAAGCCCGCCCAGTGTCAATGATGGATGTTAAAAGGACTTCATTCTCTCCCGGTTGTAGCCACTGGCCAGTGTCAACACGATTCCATTCAGGGAAGGGACCGGCTGGGCCACCCGTCTCCAAAGGACTTTCCTTCTTTTCGGCCCCCTCTGACACGGCCCCTTCCCACCCCAGCACCCGTCACGTGACCTCTTCTTACCTTTGGTCCAGGAACACCTTGGAGCCCCTGTGTTTGGAATCAAAACGAGGCCCATCAGAAATGCATTTCTAGGTAAGTCAAAAACACCTTGTCTGCAAGTTGGACCACAAAAGAGCAAGGGCCTGGGGTCCCTGCTCAGGGGAAGTGGAGGGGGTGCTAAGGGGGTTTGTGCTTGGGGCTCCCTGGGGTGGAGTCTGAGCCAGGCCTCCCCAGCCAGGGACTGACTGTGTCTCTCTGTGACCCCCCCCCCCCCCCACAGCTGACCTAGAGCCTCATGAAGGGAAGATGCAGAAGGAACACAGCAAAGGTTGATTAGATTTATGGATGCGAAGTGCTTGGAGCAGTGTCGGGCACGTAAGAAGTCTCGGTAAATGCTGGCTGCCATCGTTCTTACTACTACTTCTGCCAATGACAATGGGTGACGCAGGGCCGTGGGGCCTGGGAACACCGCAGAGGAAGGACCAGCCTCTATTGGTTTAGGATGCTTAGGGGCCCTATAAAAGCCCCATCTTTTCACCTGTCACCGGGAAAGGCCAATCCAGTGGGGCTGGTTTTACATCACTTTCCATCTTAATCCAGATGTTTTTGCTGCTGGTTAGCCGGAAGGAGGAAGGGGGAGAGCAGGCGTCTGATAGCAAAGGGCAGAGCTTAGTGGCAGAGGGACTCCTGTGGGGTGGTGGGACCAGGCCCCGCGGCTGCCATGCCAGTCAACTGTTTCCAGGACAGCCGGCACGGCACAGTCTCCTTGGGTGTCATTGACATGGTGCCGGTTTAACATGGGAGGGCAAAGGAGTAGGGAGGGGCTCGTGGATGAGAAAATCCCACCCTGGGAGGAAGAGGTGACAGCAACTGCCGGGGGGGAGGGGATGGTAGGGACCCAATCACAGTGGGCTGAAATGCTGACAAGCCCTCCCCACTTACCGGAGGTCCGGGGGGCCCCTCTGGCCCTGGAGGCCCAGGAACCTAGAATCCAAAGGGAGATGGTTAGCCCACCCCCTGTTACACTCCAAGTGGCCTCCCCTTCTGACATGGCCCACAGTCCAGCTGGGGACGGCAAAGCCAGAGGAGGACAGAGCTGCCCAGCCTGTGGTCTCCCCAAAGAAGGCTGAGAACAGGGCAGAAACTCATGTTGAAAAAAAAACAAAAACAAAAACACATTGCCGGGAAATGCTGTCAAAACGTCTAGCCTTCCAGATTTTCTTGGGGAAAAAAAAAAGAAAGAAAGAGAAAAGAAAAATCTGGCAGCAGTAGGCCCTTGTTCGTGCATGGCCATAATTGCCTGGAACTGAATAAAAGCTTTCCCCTCCAGGTGGGGCATGAAATCTTCAGGTTACCCCAGTCCCCACCACTCCCTATTGTCTGTGACCTGGAACTTTGCATTCATTTGTTGTGTGCCTGGCATTTGAACTTGAGACCTTTGGCTTACAGGAGCAGAGACTGGTTATATGGAATGGGGGGAGGCTGAGCAGCTTTTGAAAACATCCCTCAAGTCCCCTCGGGCTTGTAACAGAGACTGCTGGTCTCTGCTTCCCTTTAATTAAAGGCAGGAGGGAGGCAGGAGGGAGGCCTGCCTGCTTCTTTCTGAGCTGGTCACCCCATCTCAACTTTGGGGCTCTTCTTGCCTTCCCAGGGTTCGAATCCCACAGCGTGTGGCCAGAGTGGTGACCCCTCTGTCAGGCCACCAAAGAGGAGACCCTGAACTTGGGCAGACCGGGTTCCTCTCATGTGTCTCGGATCCATGGACTTCTCAGCTCAATCTCTGGAAACTCCAGATTCTTTTCTTAAAAAGTTCACTGCTGGGCGCCTGGGTGGCTCAGTTGGTTAAGCGACTGCCTTCGGCTCAGGTCATGATCCTGGAGTCCCTGGATCGAGTCCCGCATCGGGCTCCCTGCTCAGCAGGGAGTCTGCTTCTCCCTCTGACCCTCCCCCCATCTCATGTACTTTCTCTCTCATTCTCTCTGTCTCTCAAATAAATAAATAAAAAATCTTAAAAAAAAAAAAAGTTCACTGCTTTCTTTCTCTATTATAAATAAGTGATTCGTGCATCCTGATTGTGGCGGTAGCTACAAAGACCTATGAACGTATTAAATAAAATTCACAGACCTATACACACTCCCCCCCAAAAGTCAATTTTACTGTACGATAATCTTGAAAATAAAAAAAATGTAAAGTAATAACAGACCCATTAAAATATTTTGTAAATTAAAGGGAATTGAAAGAATGGAAAGAATAAGTATGTGAGTACTCCTAATACTCTGCTTTACTTCCTTCCACTCTTTTTTTGATGCATAAAATGTACATGAATATATGTCCATGCTTAATGATGATTTTTTTATATATAATTTGATTCTCTGCTGTTTTGCATTTAACCCAAAACCTGTTTTTTTATTTTTTTTTTTTTTTTTGCATGTTCCCCACAAGCCTCCTTTCCATGTCTCGACTGAGCGGCACGAAATGAGTTACTCCCCGGCTAGGGCCTGGAGCAGGGCTTGGCACAAGGAACGCTCCCAAACATGGGGACTATTATACCATTAATGTTATTACCATAAGTTATTGAATCATTTCCTTCTTGTTAGAAATGTAGCTTGTTTCCAATTTTTACTTCCTTCTGGAAGGAACATTTCTGTGTGTGTAGTGCTTTTCCTGAATCTTGGAGCATTTTATCAGGAGGCCATCGGTCTCTAACTCAGAAACATACCATCTCATCAAGTTCGCTTCCCTGACTGTGGACGGGCCCTGGTGACACTGAAGGTGACAGGGGTCCAGGGACCTCTCTGGGGGCTGCGAAGCCTTGATGGTCCCTCCCCTGGCTCTGTGTGGCACAGGTCCTCCCACCAAGCATCCTCTCCCTCACGTGCTGCTGAACTCTGTTGCTTTCTGGGCTCTTTCCCTGATATGCCCCAAATATGCCTGATTCTCATCTTATGAGAACCTGGCTTCCACCCCAGGACTTCTCTCTCCCCACTGTTCTCTCCTCTTCCCTTCACCACCACACCTCTCAGAGTAGAATGCGTCTCTCTGGAAAGTTTACTTCTTGAGCTCCTAGGCAAACTCCTACACAGTCTTCAAGATCCTGCTCAAAGGACCCATCTTCTAGGATGCTCATCCAACTCCTCGAGCGGCTCACCATTCTAGCGTTTGCTGCTGGGGACCGTTCACTGCACAGAGGAGGTTCTGTTTCTTTTCCTACCTCCAGACTCTAGCACCGGGAAGGAAACCTGGCGGGTGCTCTGTGAACACCAGTGGGGGGATCGTGCCCTGGGGCTCCGAGGCTGGGCTACTGTGCTCAGTGAATGTTGAGCTTCTTGCTCGCTCCCCATGTCAGGCAGCTTTGCCTTTCCTTCTAGAGCATGGAAATGCTGCGCGTCCTGGAAGGACTGTGGGCTGAGGAGGTCCCTGTCAAATACCCCCCATGACACAGAAGGCCAAGCCGCACAACCTACCTCCACTCCTGGCTCCCCCTTCTCCCCGGGCTCTCCTTTCTCTCCCTGTGGGCACAAAACACCATATGCTATGGGTGCCGGCACTCGGGGGGGCCGGGCACAGGGACACCCTCACATCTGTGACAAACCACACTGGGACTAGACAAGGCCAAGGTATTGTCAAGGATCACCTCGGAGGCTGAGGGGACAGTCAGCCTGCAGTATGAAGATTGGGCAGGGGGCCCAAGATTACAGTCTTTGGGGATCTGAGGTCCCAGTACGTGGGAGGAGAGGCTGATATCGTGTGTGGACCCTGCGGTGACCTGTGACCTGTTTCTAACCAATAGAATATGGCTTATGGCCGAGGTGATGGGATGTCACTCCTGTGATTATGTTACAGGCTCATGTTACACATGCCTACGTTCAGGTTATCACACACACACACACACACACACACGCACGCACACATGCACACACACACACACACAAACAGCCCTGTGTTGGCTGCAGGCACTCAGAGAGACTCCGGCTGGCCTTGGCTTTGAACAAGCAAGCTGCTCTAATGTGAACTGCCTGCTGTGGGCAAGAGCCTGTGGCCAGGAACCATGGGCAGCCCCTAGGAGCTAAGGCACTGACTTCGCCGACAGCAGCGAGCCTGGAAGAGGATGAGCATGTAGACCAGCGGCTTGACCACAGCCTCGTGAGCCACCCCCCCAGGCAGAGGACCCGGTGGAGGCGAGCCTGGACTCCTGACCCACAGACACAGATCAAAGTGTGCGTTGTTTTCAGCCGCTGAATGTGTGATTCATTACGCGGCTACAGAAATGACTCTGGCTCTAGGTACAGGGAGAGGGCCAGGGGTGGGAGGTTGATGAGGAAGCTTCCGCACCACATCCAGGAGCAGTCCCTCCAGCCCTGGAGCTGCTCCGCGGTGGAGGGGACACGTCAGGAGGCCGGGGGCTGCCTGCCTGTCCCAGCTGAGTCGGGCAGCCCTGGGGAGTGGCTCCCGAGGGACGCCTGCACCGAGTCACAGGTGGGACTGTTTGACCTCTGAGGTTTTTTATACTTCTAAGAGGAGAATTCTAAGACTCTAGCACTTTCGAGCCAGGCTAGTGCCTGAAGTCAGAAGCCACCACACTGTGACCTGAGAAGTGGGAACTAGTGTTCACACTCCAGTGGTCCTCACGGAGTAGCTGTTCATCAGGAGGACCCGCCGGCCCCCTCCTCCCCCCGGAAAAGGCCAAGCAGGCAGAGGGTTAGTGCAGCCTCGTTGCAGGGCCAGGCATCCGCTAGGCTGGTGACCACTGTGAGGGGGCACCCTCGCTCCCATGCCCTCATCCACAGTGGCCTGCTGACAACCTCGATACCCCACCCTCTCGCCTTACTGTAAATCCCGGGAGCCCGATAGGGCCAGGCAATCCTGTTGCTCCGGGTCTCCCTTGGCCACCTGGTTCTCCTTTCTCCCCAGTTGGGCCGTCTAGACCCTACAGATCGACAAAGATCTCTGTTAGTCAAGAGCGAGGGCATCGGTTGAGCATCTGTGACCAACTGTGGCATGCACATGTGACTCCCTTCCTTCAAGGGCAGGGGTCCAGGATGGTGCCCACTTCACAGAAGAAAACCACTGAAGCCCACGGAAGACTCCCGGGTCAAGTCAGCAGCCTCCGCGGACTAGGCAAGGTGCTTTCTCAGCACAGGCAGCCTCCCCTGGGGGTCGGCCTTCTGCATGCTTGCCAAAGAGGCAGGATTACACCCATGACCTCATCACCTTCCCAACAACCCAGTGAAGTATCCAGGGAGGGCATGATTAGCCCCATTTTAGAGATGAGAAAACAGAGGTCCTGCAAGCCTCAGGGACTTTCCCAAAGACACAGGAGATGACAGAATAGGCCCCTTCTCTTTTGGGGGGGGGCAACTGGCCTTCCTAAAGCCAGGGACTTGAAGGAAACCCAGGGGAGTCCCCAGCCCCCAGCTCCCGACCCCAGGTTTCCAGCCCGGGCTGCAGGAGGCACCCTACAGAAGCCATGCTGGGGGTGGTGCACCTGTGCAGGCAGACATGCGTTCCCAGGAGAGGGTCCCGGCCGGCCCTGGCACTCACCGGGGGGCCTGCCTGTCCTGTCTCCCCTTTCTCCCCCTTCTCTCCTGGGCTCCCTGGGTGTCCGTGTTCTCCCTTCATTCCTGTAGGTCCAAACTTTCCTGGGGGGCCTTGGGGACCGGGAGGGCCCATGTCTCCTGGCTTGCCTCGAGGTCCCTTTAGAAGATATTAGCAACACTTATTATATACACTGATGGGGGGGGGGGAGAGCACGAAAGAATGGGAAGTCCAAGGGACATGGCTCTTCTGTGCTTGACTGGCCCAGGCAAGAGCCTGTCCACCTCCCTTGGAATCGGAGAAACCTCAGGACCAGCCCCAGCCCATCCCAACTGGGTCTTCCCGGCTCCTCTGGGGCCAGCATGTGGGGCTCAGGCTCCTGCAGGATTGGCCCCCACGTGCCCCCACTCCCTTCCCCACAAGGCTCACATCTGGGCCTCTTCCAGAGCCGTCGGCTCCCACCCGCCACCATCCCCCATCAGCCCAGGTCAAGGTCCGTCTTCGGACACTCGTCCGGGAGTGTCTGTTCTTACCTTTTCCCCGTCGTGTCCTGGAGGGCCCGGAAGTCCAATCTCCCCCTGTGGCCAGAACAAGGGAAGGTCAGTGTCAGAGCAGAGAAGAGGCACTGTCATTTACGGCACACTGCGTCTGTGCCAGGGTCACCCCGGAGCTCTGTACTTGCACTGCCCCCATTTCAAGGTGAGGACCCCAGGGCAGAGCTGTGCGCATGAGGCCTGGGGCGTGCGCAGCGGGCAGCTAGATCCTGGCTCCACAGTCCACATGTTAGCCACAGTCCCGCACGCTGCCTCTGAGTACCCCGGGTACCCCCTGGGAGGGGTGTCGCCTCCCAGTCCCCCTCCCCAGCCCAGCCCAGCCTGCCCCACAGGGAGCTCCCTGCATCTTCACATCAACCCAATCCTTTTCTTTAGGTCAGGGAGGGAGATAAAAGAGGCCTGGCCTCTGTCTTTGAGGCCAGTAAAGAACGAGCCACATCACCAAGGCAAAATGACGCTATGAGAGGAGCAGAGAGGAAGGGGCAGTGAATTCTGCCTGGTAGATCAGGGGAGGCTTCAAGGAGGAGGTGGCCTTGGAGTTGGGCTTGAAATATGAGGACTTGGAAAGGTAGGGAAGAGGGGAAGGAACTTCAGGGCAGGGGCCCTCAGGAGCAGAGGACAGAGGTGCAAACATGCAGGGCCTTCTGAGAAAATCACAGGGGTGGGGCAGAGTCTAAAGGGGAACAAAAGCAGGGAGCAAAGGAGAGGGGGAGATCGGGGAGGAGCTCAAGTGCCATGTTCCCTGGTGGGGGGGTCAGGGTCCCCTTGTGGTTCTGCCTGGAGCAGTGGCTTGTCTAGATCCAAGCTCTACCAGAGGAGAGAAGCCTGTGAATTACGGGAGCCCAAGTCAGACAGCGGGGGAAGAATGGCAGACTGAGGGGGCAGGAGTGGGGGTGGCTGTGGTGGGGGCAAGACAGGGCCTGGGGGGCCTGGGAGCAGTGGGAAGAGTCAGAGGCCAGGCTGCAGTGGTGGCTCTGCAGGGAAGATGGGAGGGTCCCCCGCTGGCTCCCGCACTCGGGGACACAGGCAGTGCCTCTGTGGGGTCTGCCTCTCCCTTGTCAGGACAAGTGTTACCTTCTGGCCTGGGGCTCCGGGTGGGCCTATTTGTCCGGGAAGACCAGGGGGCCCCTAGGAAATAAAAGAAAGACCTGTGGAAGAACTTTCCACCCAAGGAGGGGTGGCCTGTTGCCAGGGGGGGTGTATGTGGAGGCTAGTTTATGGGGATCAATCATTTTCAAACATCTCATCAGTGGCAGGAACATATTTTTGTAAACGAAATAGCACGGGGACTCTACAATGCAAAGTGGGTAAGCACTGAGTGTGTCTGGGTTAGTGTTGGGGTTGGGGTTGGGGGGGATCCTGGAGCCACGCCTACCAGGCTCTCCCTCGTCCTCCCTCCGAGCAACCCCTGGGCTCCAAGAAGATAAATTTCACCTCCCCCGATAGGGACTTCAAAATGTCTCCAGGAAACAATGCAAATATCCATCAATAAGTGCAGGTGTGCGATAACCATCCAATGGAATATTACTCAGCAGTGAAAAATGAAGCAAGCACGGGGGCCTGCCATGTCATGGATGCAACCCAGACATTCTTTGCTGAGCTAAAGAAGCCAGACACAGATGGCTAGGCTGCACAATTCCACTCAGATGATACTCCAGAAAAGACAGATCGAATCCACCACGACAGAAAGCAGATCAGTGGTGCCCGGGGGCTGAGGGTAGGTGTGGGATTGACTCCTGAGGCACATAAAAGAACTTTCTGGAGTGCCTGGGGTGGTGGATACATGGGTATATACATTTGTCGAAGCTCATCAAACCTCACAGCTAAAGTGGGTACCTTTTATTGTATGTAAATTATACCTCGAAGTTGACTTTAAAAGAAAAAGAGATTCCATGACAGTTTTGTTTTGGATAGCTATTTCAAATAATATATTCTAATGTCCCCAAATGAAGCTCATTGATTTTAGAATCACATGATGTTAATACCAACCTCTGGGGTTGAGGCATGATATGATTGGTGTTTGAGTCTGGGTCTGTGCATCCCCAAGTGTTCTGTGCCGTATGGCCACTAAAAATAGTAAGTGAAATGAGGGGCGCCTGGATGGCTCCGTGGGTTAAGCATCTGGCTTCAACTCAAGTCATGATCCTGGGGTCCTGGGATTGAGCCCCACGTCAGGCTCCCTGCTCAGCAGGGAGTCTGCTTCTCCCTCTGCCCCTCCCCCCACTCATGTTTGCGTGTGTGTGTGCGCTCTCTCTCAAATAAATAAATAACATCTTAAAAAATAAAAATAAAACATTAAGTGAAATGAAATTCCAATAGTTTGAGGACTTTGTGATCTCCTTTCTTCTCTCCGCCTGGAAGTTAAACCTCATGGTAGTTGTTTTAACTATAAATATTCACTACAAAAATCCACAGGCCTGTCACTGGTAGTAGGTACGCATGCAAAATCCGGGCTTGGAATTCACTGGTTTTCCAAGTGCAGAAAATGAAATTGATTTCTAGGAAAGGTGAAAACATGGAGGTTGAGTAGCTCCTGATTTTTTAGGGTTATGGATTTTATGAGCTGAAGGTTGAATACAAGGAGAAACATAAAAGCATCCTCCTTTGTACCTCCATCTCCTTGACACGGCTTTGCAGAGACCCAGCATCTATGCTGAGACAAGAGTGCGCAGTGGAATGGGTGAAGAGCTGCTCCAGAGGACAGTCGGGACCACTCCCTCCTCCGGGGTAGGGGAGGCTACGGAGAGCCCCTGCTGAGGCTCGGCTCACCCTCTGCCCCGGCACTTCAGGGTCAGTCCTAACCCAGCAGACCTGCACCGGCTTTCTGGAGGCCAGACCTCAAGTCCTTGCCCTCCCCTGGCCCCCAACCCCCCGCCCGGGCCCCCCAGCCCTCAGCCCGGTGCCCAAGGGAAGGAGGAAGACTTACCATCAAGGCCAGCGTTCGGATCTCCTAAAAACCAATGCCATGCAATCAGTTGAGGAACAAGTCAAGAGCCATCTGGAGGGTCCCCTAGGCCCAGGCATGGAAACATGGGAGCTGGGCCCCCCTTAGGAACACAGTAAGGTGGGCTCCGTGCCTCCCAACTGCATGCCGCTCCCACCTCTCCCCAAGGTTCACAGAGACTGGACAGAGAATGCTCTCTATCTCACCCAGGCTGCTCTGAAGCTGTCCTACACCAGACTCAAACAGGCCCTGAGACGGACTGCCCACTTCCCTTCACTTTGCCAAGGAGGGAGGACACAACATCTCTGCTTCTCCCTGACCACTGGCTGGGACCCTCCCCTGTTCTCCCCTCTTCCCCAGAACCCAGATTTCAAGGCTCCGACATACTTCCTCGTAAACAACGAATGCAGAATAGGAAGATACAGAGCCACTCAAGAACCAGGGGGACTACTGTTGGCATGCAGACAGGATCGTACACCCCATAAATGGATCCACAGAGGTACAAAGTTTCCTTTAAAGGATTGGTTCTCCACCCGGGGGTGGCGTTTGGCCCCTGGGGACATTTGGAGACATACTGTGGCTGTCAACCGGGGGTGGAGTGCCCCTGGCATCTAGTGGATCGGGACCAGGGATGCTGTGAAGCATCCTACAACATACAGGGCTCCCCTTCCCCGACAACTCCCCACAAAATGACCCTACGGATATTGGAGACATGGGGCTCCAGAACCCTGGATGGACCAGCACCCCCCAGGGTGCCAGGATGCTCCAATTATGGTGCTCAGTTCCCCAGAGCCAGGATAGCCCACCGGCCGGGCCAGACCAAGAACCAGGACCCCTGGCGGCCAAGTGAAGGGGGTGTATTTGCCTGGAGGCTGGAGACAGAGGCCAAGGGAGAGAGAGCAAGGGGGACACTCTCCTGGAAGCTCTGCCCAATAGCCTGCCCTCAAGCACACTAATGGGGGCACTGAAGCACCCCCTCACAGGGCCGTGGTGCAGGGCCCAGAGGCCCCTGAGTGCCTCCCGATCTCTAGTCTCTGGGCCAGCTCCCACTCACCTGGAGAGCCTCGTTGATGTTTCCGTTGTAGTCCACCATCTCTCCTTTCCCTGGTTCCCCCTTGGTGCCCTGCAAGACAAATGCGGCCTCAAACCCAGGCCGGGGCCAGTAGGGACGGGGGTGCAAGGCTGCCTGCTGTCTAACAGACGGGATCGTGGCCAAGGCAGGCTGTGCCTGGCTGCACGCGGGAGGACCCAGAGCGGTAGGCCGGGGAGTCAGGGGTTTCTGAGAGAGGATGCCTAGAGGTTCTAGAACAAACACAGAAGACTCTTTGCGACAGACTCCAGTCTAGACAGACCTAGAGAAGACCGAGTCCCGTCATGGCTGCCATGACCGTAGAAAGAGGTCTCTCTCCCTCCCGCTCAAGGCCCAGAGTCCAGCCATTCACGCTGTGACCCCAGGGGAGCGAGATGTTGTGCTCTGACTCCGGGGGACATGCACGTACCTTGGGGCCGGCTGGTCCCTGGTCTCCAGCTGCTCCAGGCTCCCCCTGTTGCATGACAAAATTGGAGTGAAAGGGGGACAAGGCTGGATCCGAGAGCACCTGCTGTCCCCAGAGGGGCCATTGTAAGGGGCCCTGGAGGGGCTGGGAGGCTTATCTTCGCTCAGGCCAAGAGGCTGCCGACCTTCCTGTGCAGGGAAGTGCAGGCTCCTTCCCTTCAGGAAGCATCTCCACCTGCCTCGCCTCCTCTGGGCCTCCCAGTGCCTCTGGGCTCCTCTGGCTTCTCGCTGAAAGACCTTCTTCCTGGTCTGGGCTAGTTGTTAGGGACTGCACCTGTGACCCGTGTCTGCCTGGCCGCCTCTCCCCCGCCCCCTACGGCAGCCACCTCTTCGGAGGACCAGGCCCTTTGCTTCTCTTTATTTCCATTTGGCTCACAGAGCAAGAGTCCGTGACCTGAGGGGTCAGTAATTGCCACAGAGGGACCATGGGTTCTTTCAGGGGCCTCTCTGCATGTGACAGCCCCAAACTGCAGGATGGAGAAAGGGAGTTCAGCGGAAGGCAGTAGGAGCGCTCAACCTCCCCACTGGGTGGGGTTGGGGTTTGTTGCTGTTGGAAACATGACAGAGCTATGGGGAATGCATGAAAACAAACCTCAGTCCCAATGGTGCTGGGACAATGCTAACATCAAAGACAAATTTTAAAAAATCAAGACAGAAAGTATATGTAAAGGGACAACAAGCCTTTAATATAATTTAATTCCACACGACCTTGCAGCTGATCAGCTCGTAGAATGTCGAGCCACTATCACCTGCTGATGACCTGCCCCTACCCTCCCTCCTCCCAGAGCATTTTTTGTCCCTGAGCACCATGAGGGACAGGGCAGCCCCGACCTGACCCTCCCACAGGAAGTAGCTGGGGAGAAGTGGGAGCCCCACCTTCACCAGGGGCGTGGAAGCTAACAGAAGCAGGGGCTCTGGGTCCTCCCCCAGCCCAAGTGTCTGTCCCTGGACCAGCCTTTGCATGACTGCTGACTCCATGGAAGGCTCTCCCCAGCCAGCAGGAGAGATGGCCACCCGGAGTCACGGCCCCATCAGCTTTGTACCCCAGGGGTCCGGCTGCAGGGACGGCCACCCCACTTGCTCTCCCTGAGCTGGGGCGTGAACTCCCAAGCTGACCTCATCTCAGACCTGCGAGCCTCTGTACCTTGTCTCCTTGCCGTCCTGGGGGGCCGGCCTGGCCATCAACCCCAGCTTCTCCCTGGGGAAGAGGAGAGACACGGGTGTTGTCTTTGGATCTCTGTCTTTGTCTGCACTGGCTTCTACTGACTCACCTCATTCTTCCCATCTGCCTCCCACCCACCCGTGGGCCCAGTCTGGGTCTCACCTCCTCCTGGCAGCCTGCCCTGTCTGCCCCTTTCCTCCTCTGAGTTCTGCACCACCTCCTGGCGTCCAGCCGGCAGTGCCAGGCGCTCCTCAGCTCCGGGTAACACACAAGCCAGCTCTGTTGCAGCCCCCGGGTGGGGACCGACATGCACCCCCGGCTACCGGGAGGCAGGTCATTTTGGAACCTAAAGCACTTGGGAAGGCACAGCTCAGCAGTCCCGCCTGGGAGACAGAGGGGACCATGAAGCCTCCAGGCCCGAGAGGCCGAGGATGGGAGGCGCAGAGAGAGCCGGGAGGAGGCGCCCCCTCCCCCCCCGCCCCGCGCATACTTCCCTTGGTCGGCCCTTTGCCTGGTCCTGAAGGAGGACACGGGCTTGGGAACAGTCTTCTAACTTTCCCCTCTTGTGTCCCAGAATGCAGGGACAGTAGTGACCAGGCTTCCCCGACCCCAACTCAAAACCCAAAACCTGCCAGGGATCCACGCCCCATGGGGTCAGACTCCGACTCTGGGGACGTCCCGGAGCCCTGCGGGCAGGGCCACCGTTGGCAAAGCTGGTGCTCAAGCCAGGGAGGCTCTATTCCCGCCACGGTCAGATGGGCACTTGGGGGGTCCGCCCGAGACCCTTCCCGCCACTTCATCTTGTCTGTCTGTGGGCTTCCTTCTGGCCCCCGTCACGATACCCCTGTGAATCGTGGGTCTGCTTCTCCTGCGGGGTTGTGAGCAAGCTGAGGGCAGGTTCTCTGCAGCCTCGCAGCCCAGGCAGGGCCCCGCCCACAGCAGCAGGTGGGTGGAATGAATGCATGAATCATCTGAAATCATGTCCTTGCCTTATGAGCTCAGAAAGAGGCCATCCTCACTTCCCCGGGGCTGCTGGAGTAAACCGAGAAGTGCAGGAGGCGTCTGCTTCGGGAAACCCAAGCCTCACCACTGCAGTTTCCACCCAGGGTAAGGAAAGTGAGGGCAGTCCCATTGGCAGCTGACCCCACTTGCTGCTACCCGGCCCCCCGCCCTGCCCCCCCCCCCGCCGGGTGCCAGCACCGGGTGGGGCCCAACTGATCACTGATGTCTATTCAGAGCCTGGGCAGGGGGCCCTTCTGGCTGTCCTAAGCCCTGCAGCTGTCCGTCCCTGACTCAGTTACGTCGTAGCTGTTGAATCATTGGGACCATCCATCTGCCCTCGGACTGTTTCTCTTAGATAGTCAAACAGTCACCACTTAAAATCAGGAGCTCAGTCCAAATTGTCTTTCTAGAATCCACTGGAAAAACCACGTATCTGGAGCAGGAGAGAAGGCAAGGTGCCCAGGACGGAGTCCGCAAGAATGGGCTGAAGATAAAGGTCACAGGCAGCATCTCCCTCGAGTGCGGATCCCAGGGAAACTCACCTTTGGCCCTGGGGGCCCAGGTAGCCCTGGGGGGCCGGGCTCCCCTCTGCCCCCTCCGATGGAGTTACCAGCATCGCCTTTTTCTCCCTGGGAGCAGAATAGGGGAGAGTGGGGGAGTAACCATCACTGGCCTGCCTAGCTCCGGAGGGAGGTGGCCCATCCCTGTCTTTTCTCCCCTCCCAGTTCCAAGGAGTGGGGGCAGCAGACCGCCCCTTGGTCCAGGCTGGGCACAGAGGCTCTCAGAAGCCTGGCCTGGTCTGACTGGCCATGGGATTTGCAGAGAGAAAGGACATAGCTATTACAGCGGAGCAGGTATGGAGCAAAAAATGAGACCCCCTCATGCCTTGGGCCTAGACTCTGTCTCTCAGAGTGGGTCCATGGAACCCACCTTCTGGGGGTGGGGAATATTTGAAAGGTGAAGAAAAGGGTCTGGTGGCCAAAGGGTGTTAGGGAAGGCAGAGGGAAATGAAGAAGCTCAGGCTTCTGCCCCGCAGGGTGCTCTGAGCCCTGGCAGATGAAAGTGCCCTGTGACGTTCCAAAGGGGCCTGACTCACACAGCTCTCCCCACACTTATTCGACCTTAAGTCTTCTTTTCTTTTTTTTGATGGAATGTCATGGAGCTCATGTCCTAGGGAGCACATTTTCAGAGCTGACACAGACATCTGACAAGGTCACCGCTACTGGTCTTTGAATATGGGCATTTTTTGCCAATCAGGGCCTCCCACGTGGTACCCCACGCACGAATCTAGCTGTGTTCCAGCTTCTTTCCCCCAGTCTGGGAGGGACACCTCCGATACTGGGGTCCCTGAATGGTCAGGGTCGGGAACGTGGATGCGGATGAACCCCAAGGCCTTTACATAGAACCCACCATTTTGAGCTTGCTAATACCCACCTTCTGCCCCATGAGGCCGAATAGCCCAGGGGAGCCTACAGCCCCCTTTTCACCCTGTGGAGGAAATACAGACAGTGCAGGGTTAGGAACGGTTTCTCTAGGATGCCTGGGAAGGCACCAGCCCCACCAGCATAAGGCCTTGGCTTTCTCTCCGCTGCCTCCCTGCCGCTTTGTGGGCCATCTCCCACCAGACCTCCAACTGCACCTGACTCCTTCCCTGGGCCACTTCACACTGGTGAGGGCCTGGATCATTGTTCTCCTTCTCCCGTATGGGCTGGGCCCTCATCATTCATGAAGCGAGAGGCGCTAAGAGCATTTAGCTCCTTTTGCTGGGTCTCCTGGGGAGAGGCGAGCAGTGTAGAAGGCCAGTAGTCGGGAAAGCTCTTCATTTTAACTGCTCTGCTCTTTTCATTTTGTAAATGTCTAGCATTTAGAGGCCCCCAGTCTCGGCCGACCTCCTCCCTGCCTCCAAGGAAGACAAACACCATCTCATTAGACTTCTCCTTTGGAGGACTATTTTGAGAAGTTTGCTTCCTGTGATGGGTTGGCTTGCGTCCTCCCAAAATTCCTATGTTGAAGTTCTAACTCCCTGTAGCTCCGAATGTGACCTTCGTGGGAAATAGGGTCATTATAGATGTAACTAGTGAAGTTATGAGTAGGGTGGGCCCCTAATCCAATACGATTGGTGTCCTCATAAAGGGGACATTTGGACAGGGGGACATGCACACCGGGAGAACACCATGTCAAGATGAAGGCAGAGATTGGGGTGATGCTTCTACAAGCCAAGGAACACCAAAGGCTGCCAGCAAACCGCTGAAATGAGGAGAGAGGCAGGGGACAGATTCTCCCTCACAGCCTGCAGAAGGAACCAGCCCTGCCGACACCTGATCTCAGACTTCTGGCTTCCAGAACCGCGGGACGATAAGCTTCTGTGGTTGAGCCACATGGCCCGTGGTCCTTTGTTCAGGCAGCCCTTGCAAGCTAATACTCTGCCCTAAGCATCTTCTTCCTCCATGAAGAATTTTCTCCCCCATGTCATGCTTCACAGAGCCCTGCTCTCACTGCACAGATAAAGAGGCTCCATGGCTGTGAACGACCCCTCCCGGCCTCAAGTTGCAGAGGCAGGCCCGCTCCCCAGCCCTCCCGAAGCTCCGTCTTCTACACCATGAAGACGGCACTTGGCCCTCCCAGAGTGGCCCGTATCGGGAGAGCACCCCAAGAGTACCCCACCAGGTCAGCACCCGAGAGCCCCCTCCACAGCTTGATGGCTGCTGGTTCTTGTAGCTAATTATAGAAATGGAGGGCCCTGGGGTCATAATTTGCCAGGTGTCTCAGTGAATTTTCCAGCTAGAGCCATGGAGGATGCCACACCAAGTCTTTAGGTGTCATCCGCTTGCCACCTGCCCTGGGGTAGAAGGTGAATGACAAAACAGCCTGGGCTGTGCTGAGCTGGGGCATGCCCTGAAACAGGCCGAGTCTAAAGGGGAAGGATGCAGGTGCTGCCCTACGGAGGCCGGCCGTGCGGGCCGTGGGGATGGGGGGAGGGGAGGCCTTCCTTCTGCTGGTCTTTCCTCCTGGGAACCAATGCTTTCGAGGGGGGCGGGTGTGCTCCCGAGTGCAGGATCTCTGAAGCTTTGCCAGGCCACCGCGGCACTCCCCTCTTCCTGGGGACACATGCACCCCGAACACACTGCAGGCAGCACACGGGCCATGGGGGTGGGGCAGGGAGTGGAGGACCAGCAGAGGCCAGTCTGAAGGGGACACACACTCAGAGACACAATATCCTACCCTCTGCCCCCTCTTTCCCGGCAAACCTGGGGGCCCTGGCTTCCCTGCTGCTCCTGGGTCTCCCTTTGGGGTAAGAAGAGAAAGTCACTGATAAGAGGATTGGGGGGGTGGTGAGGGGTACCATGGACAGTGATCGTAAACCAGCGTTTCAAGAATACTAGTCCCATAAGACGCTCCTCTTAAGAAAAGGATGCTCTAGTCAAAAAGTTTGAAAATGCTGCACCAGAATTACAGTTTTAGAGCTTCCCAATATACAGGTAGCATCTTAAAGGCCTGCAGTAAACAAACAAACAAACAAACAAACAAACCCCTGTGAAATATTTTTAACTCTGTACTTCCCAAACATATTTGGCATGGAAACTTTTTTCATGTTACATCCCTTATAGAATGAGACAAGAGAGACAGAGAGCCCTGCAGGCACAGGGAACAAGAGTTAACTGCCTGCTGGAGCTGGTGTGCAGGCAAACTGACCGAGCTCCAGGCCAGGATCCAGGGAGGGGGATTCCCTCCTGGGTGGACCCTCCTCTGCTCAGTCGGGCCCCCGGCTCCAGGCCAGCCTCAGGGGGGGCCGAGAGCATAGCAGTAGCTGCCCCCCCTCCCAATGCTTGATGCTCCGTGTAGCCCATAACATTCCCTCTGTATCAGTACCTTGGCTCCTGGGGTCCCTGGCTCACCCTGTTTGGGAAAAAAAAAAAAAGAAGACGACTCCGGTAAAGAGATGAAGGAGAGAGAGTGAGAGCTAGAGCACGAATAAATGAGCAAAGCTCCTCATGGGGTGCATGAAGCATCTGGCCAGCCCAGGGCTTCCCTCTGCCTAGACTTCAGGTCCCAGGCCAAAGGAGGCCTCCTGGACTCTTCCCGATTGTTCCCCTAGGTGAGGGATGTGGCAAGTGTGAGCTCGGGGGGAGAGGAAGGAACGGCCATTTGCTTTGGACATGGTGCCCCCGGTCTGTGGACCTGCCGGGAGATCCACATCTGTGCTTCTGGGTGTCCCCATGCACCTGTCTGCCAACCAAATGTGGTTAGTGTGCGATTCAGGGGAAGGACTCCTGCTCTCCCCTTGGGAGCTTTGCGAGCACGCAGCTGTTGGGATTCTGAGGTATAAAGGAAAGCACTGGGTCCCCTTGGCCCCTGGCATGGTGCTGCTCTAGCTGAGGCTGGCAAATCTTAGCTACTTACTATGCAAGGCTTAGTTAAAACGTCTCTAGTTCGAGTTGTGCATAATGGCATACACGTTGCCTTAAGAGAAATGTTTCTGAATCCTGTCTGCCTCCTCCTTGGCCCAGGGGCCACCCCACAGAGTCCCTGAAGCCCCAACCCCGTCTTCCTCTCTCCTTCCCTCCCAATCTGCCCCTCATGTGCGCAGTGCTAACGTGCCACTGACCTTCATCCCAACCACAGCAATTCCAGGAGCTCCCTGGCGGAGAGAAGAAAAAGGCATGGCGACCTGGGGCGAGCATGGAGGGAGTGGCCAGTTCCCAGCCTCCCCTTGGGGGGAATGCGAAGGCAGACTGTTTGCTTCTGCCTGCTGACCGGACCCACGGCAAGGGTGGGTGGTTGCGTCTGGCACAGGGAGCGTGGGTCCCCAGGAAGGCAGAGGCTCTGAGCAGCACGGTTGAGTCCCCCCAGGCTTCCCACCACCTGCTCGGCTCCCAGACCCTCCTGGCAGGGAGCCCAGGAGTGTCCAGATGGGGGTGTCTCTGGGGTGCAATGTGGGATAGGAAAGGGGGAGGAGGCGCTGGGAGGGGAAGGGGGTAGAAGGAGCACTGCGTGGAAGGGAAGGACGGGAGATGGCTGATTTCACCCCTGAGTGGGCAGGTGGGATTCTTCTCACAAAGAACTCTCTGGATCTGTGCCTTCATGGACTGGGGGGCAGCTGGGAGTGAACCCCATTTCCACATCAGCCCAAGACCAGCCACTTTGCGGTAAATAGGCTGCCAGATGCAGCACTTAGTCAATTGTAAGTGGAGGGCATATTTAGGGAGTCCTTACTCCCCACATGGGATGGCAACCAGAGCTGGGCTTTCCCGAGAAGCGTTTTTATGGCCCAGAGATGCCCGGGAGGAGGCCTGGCCATGTCAGGAGGGTGCTGGGGAGTGCTGGCTCATGGGCCAAACAGAAGCGCCCAGCCCGGAAGAGCAGGCTGACACCGCAGGGGGAGAGGGTAGGGGGGAAATGTGTACCCCGTCTTCAAAAAAAAAAAAAAAAAAAAAAAAAAAAAAAAAAATGGGCCTCCCAGGAGTCCCAGAACTTGGGAGAAGGGGCGGGAGCTCAGGCGGGGGCGGCAGGTGGGGGGGGGGGTGCTACCGGAGACAGGGGGAAGGGCAGGTACCTTTGCTCCATGTTTGCCCGGCATCCCTGGCATGCCCCGTTCTCCCTGAAGGAAGAAATAAAAGAAACACTGAGAAGAGGCCCAGACTCACCCGAGGCCTCGGCCCTTGGAGCACGGCCTGCAGGGATGTCCACGAGATACTCTTGCTGGCTGGTCTGGAAGCTTGGGACACCCGTCCAGCTCACGATGACCTCCGAGGACCTGGCAGCCACCGCAGGCTGTTCCTCTTAGCTATGTGAACTCACAGAAGGCCCCCCGAGAGAGAGGCTCACCAGCAGAGTCCGAGTCCCGAGGGGCTGCAGGAGGGCCTGTGCAGGACCTACCGCCAGCCAGGGGCCCAGCTGGGTCAGAGCTCGGTGCACTTGGCCACTCACCCACGCATCCCTCCCTCTCATCGCCACCTAGCACTTCCGGCTCCGTTCTCACTCCAGAAGCTTCGCTCTCGTGGTACCTGCTGGCTGAGCCACACGGGCTCCTGCCTCTCCTCTTCATCTGGGACTCCCCTTCCTCCCAGCTTCCTTGGGTCTAACCCTTCCCAAGGGCACGGGGGTCTTGGTCCTGCACGGCGGAGGGCCAGCCTGTGGTTTGGGGGGTGAGGGTGGAGGCAGGGTGCTGCCTGGAACCCATCCATGGGCACCAGGAGAACTGTAGCTTCGGGACACTGTGGGGTTTGCTCTACGAGCTCAGCAGTGGCCCGTCTTTCTCCTCAACCTCTTTTGCCTCCCCGCGAAAACGCCAAACCACTGGGGCGGGGCTGTGAGCTCAGGACAGGAAGGAGATGGCGCTGGAGATGACAGCCAGTGACAGATGGAGGTCAAGAGTAGATGAGTCGAGGCTGACCTACTGTGTCCGAGAAGGGGCTGGTGCTCAGGAGAGGAAGGAGGGCAGCTCCGGTCTCGGCGAGTTGAGCCCCAAATGAAGCCCCAGCCCGGGCTCGGAATGCCAGCAGCGACAGGGGACAGTCAGCGCTCGGCTGTGGCTCCCTGTGTCTGAAGACAGCTGCAGGCTGGGGATGGCACCACAGGGTCCGGACACACTGTGTCCCGGCCCAGCCTCCCCACTCGGGTCCCAAGAGCTGTGGCCTTCAGGCCAGGCCCCAGTTCCCGCAGGCTTCCGGGCAGAGGGGGACACTGGTCCCACCTGGCCTCCATCTTTTCCGCTGCCTTTATCCCTTCTCTTCTGCCGTGTTCTGGGAAGTCCTATCCACCCTTCTGCTGGCCAAAGCTAGAACTTCTTCCACCCTCTCTGCTCCCTGACTGGGCCTCGGCGCTGGCGTCCGGGGAAGCTCCCCGGGACACTGGCTGGACAGTGACACTCCCTTACTGCAAAGTAGACACTGCCCGGCATTGACCGCAGAAACGGGGCCAGGCATTCCGTCCTCGGCTTCCTTCCCAGCCTCATCACCTGACATCCTGACACCTACTGCCTGTTTCCCTGAAAACACCACCCATTTTCAGGATTCCATGTCTTTTTTTTTTTTTTTTTTTTTTTGAGAGAGAGGGAGAAGGAGAGGGAGAATCTCAACCAGGCTCCACGCCCAGCTCTGGGCGTGGAGCCTGATGTGGGACTCGATCTCCTGACCCTAAGAGCGTGACCTGAGCTGAAATCAAGAGTCAGATGCTTAACCAACTGAGCCACCCAGGCGCCCCAGATTCTATGCCTCTCTGATGTTCCCTCGACACCCTGTTCATTTTTAGGGGCCTTGGTCAAATACCATCTCCTCTGTGAAGCCTTTTGCTATGCCCATACCCAATGCTGGTTCCTGGGTGCAGCGGGGACCACTCAGCATTTGTAATCAGCAGGCATGAATTAATGTCTGCCTGGGATGGTTCACCTCCATCCTCCTTGGATTCAGTCTCCAAATTCTGCAAAAAGGCCCAGAATCTTTAGCTCCAAACACAGGAGCCCTTCCTCACCCTGACCCCTGACCCCTGACCCCTGAGTGACAGGCAAGGTTAGTGGATCCGTACTCAGGAGGTGAACACAGCAGATGAGTCATTGCCCCAGGCCCCAAATTCTGGGAAATCCCTCTTACAGGCCATTTACTGTGTCTTCCATGGGCCTGGCACAAGGTTAAAGGCTTTCCATCTTTCCTCTATTCAACCTCCAAGACTCCTCTCCGATGTGGCACTGGATTTTATTCCCAGTTCACAGGGGAACAAATGGGCTCTGAGAAGTCAGGTATGATCGCCAAGGTCATGCGGAGTAGGGATTTGAACACAGGTCTTTGCCGAAGTCCTGGTACCCATTTCTCTAAGCCAACCCCAAGCATCGATGGGCTGCTTCTAAAGCCCCTCTCAGCTGGAGGGCCCTCAGGTCCCTGCCTCGGAAGGGTGCAGGGGTCAGCGCAGGAGGGCAGCTCCTAGGGCTGGGGGGCTGGGTCTTTAACCCCACGCTGGGCGGGAGGACGGAGCTAGGCAGGGCCCTGCCCGCCAGCACAGGCCTGCTCTGTGGCCAGCAGAGGGCGCCACAGGACCTTGTCAGAAGTCTGGTGACTGTGGCCACGAGGGTGTCAGAGGCCCCTCCTCAGAGGAGTCCCCGCCGAGGGCCCCTGTCACTGTCTCCTTCCGTGGACCCAGGATCTCCTGCTAACATTCCAACTGGTCCAACCAGGTTGACTTAGCCCCAAAGACACCCCGAAGACAGAGTCCCCAGCAGTGGGGGGTCCAGGTGGGAAATCAGTTTGGCCCTTCCACTTCTGTCTTTCCCTCGCCTTCCCTCAATGACCCTGGCTGCCTCTTCTCGTCTCCATCTGGGGCAACTGGCTGGGAGTCAGGAAAGGCTGTGTGACCCTAGGTAAGCCTCTTTCCCTCTCTGGGTCCAGGCTCCTCCTCTGCAAAGTGAGTCAGACTAGAGTCCACTGGCCTGCTACTGCTCTGGCCCTTTCTCCAGCCACCGCCAGCCCTGCCTACCTGAGGCCTTTAGCCAGGAGAGAGGTCGGAGCTGGGGAGGGGACGCTGGGTCTGTCGGCAGCTGCAAAGCAAGGCTGTGGAGGTGGGAGTTTAGCTGTGGGGAAAATGCTGGTCTAGGACGGGTCTCAGGGGGTCTCTGCTTTCCCTCCCTCCTACCTGGAGGGACAGCTGCAGAAGCTTCAGCAAGGGGGGTGGGGTGGGGGTCTGCTCGAGCCCCATCTCTGGGCTTCTGTCTCCAATCTCAGCAGGAGCAGTGCAGAGCGAACCCCGGGGAGTGAGGGTTTCCCGCTAATTGGGGTTGTCCTCAGCCCGTGCCGGCTTGTATGTAAGACAAAACCACCGTCTCCAGGGAATTCCGGGCCCCTTGGAGCCTCCTAAGGAGGCAGCCCTCCTCGTTAGCGTGGCTGACCTTCGCCCCTTCCCTCCCCTCTGGGTCAAGTCGCTTAATTCTACAGATGACCCAGGCTCTCTTGATCCCATCCCTCTGTCGGGCAGGAAGCAGGGGTGCCCCCGGCTGACCCCACCCTGCAGGCTCATTCCCCTCTCATCAGGCGGGGCTTACCCCAGCCTCACCTCTGCCCTGGGGACCGGCCCAGTCTGACACCAGGAAGCACTGATTCTTGGATCTGTGAGGTGAGACAGGGCTGAGTCATTGTCAAGGGCTTCGGGGTGGCTGTGGACAAGGGCACCTGTCTGCAGGGAGTGAGAAGGGGGTTTCTTGCAGCTATTGCTAAAAGGGGGACCATGACTTCTGTTTACATAATTTTTCCCCTCAGTGTGTCTTTATGAGGGTCCTTCTGCCCATTTCTCTTCTTAAAAGCGTTCCTGTTTAAAAGGTTTAGGTTCGGAATTGTGCTGATTCACTAACTCAAGTGTCTTCATCTTAAGTACAGAGGGAATTCTCATAGTCTGTTCAAGTCTAGGGTCCCCAATTTATCCCCTCTCTCTTTGCCTCCCCTTACCCTCCCAGTAGGACACCAGGAGCTCCCCCAGTGGGCTCCTAGCAACCCCACCTGGGCCACTCTGTAGCTGGGGAGGTGGGCCCTCTGTGCATCGCCCAGGGGCACAGAGCATGGATGGCAGAGGCTGTAGGGGAACCAGGCCAGAGACCCCCAGGCCAGGACATCCCACCACCGAGAAGCCTGGCTCTTTAACCTCTTGGTTAACCCAGGAACGCCTGATTGCTGGCCAGGAAGGGGTAGATTCCAGTCACTGTGGCTAAGAAAGCTCCGGGTGAGCACAGGTGGGTAGAGAGGGGGCTGCCTCGAATGACCTTGAAGGCCGGTCCCAGCCCTGCCTTTTATGATGCCACTAACTCTCCAGCCGGGCCTGGCACAGAGCGCCTTGCAGCATCAGTAGGTTTTCTATTCTGGTCCCGGCTTCCAGGTGGAGGGACCCCTCGATTACCGAGACGGGATGAAAGGCAGCTCCTTGGAGCACAAAATGGCCATGCTCCTGTCCTGTGGGAGTGGCCTCTTAATTGGTGATTTACTGTTTGTTGGATTAAGCAGGGCAGGGATTTGGCAAGAAGACACAGTCTGGAGGGGGGTGGGGGGCTTCAAGGTCAGCTCCCCAACCAAGCAGAGGTCAGGCCAGAGGAGTATGGGAGATGAATGGATCTCCCTGGGATGAAGCTCCCATGCAGCCCAGCGCCGTGGGGAGGGCCCCGGGTGAAGCAGCACCACACACAGACTCTTTGTTCTCTGCAGGGAGGAGGAAGGCCTGTCTGAGAGCTGTGCAGGGCTGGGGTGGGGGGTGGGGGCAGAGGCCAGCACGTGGCTCAGGCCTCGGGCCTGGACCAGATCCCTTTCCTGGGCTGGGAAAGCCGGGCGAGGCAGGCTAATGTCTCTTTCTGCCCTAAGGGCAGAGGGTTCCTAGGCCTCCCTTCCAGGAAAAGGCAGCTCATTTCCTTCTTCGCTGCCCTAGCCAGCGCCAGACAGGAGAGGACTGGAACCGGGGAGTTGTCAGCTCCTCTGGTAATTAGGACCGGCAGGAAGTGATCTGGGGAATTACCGGGGTCAGGCGCCCCATCGAAGGCCGGGGCTTTGGAAGGGCGGCTGGTTTGTAATCTCGATTTGAGATCGGTTGATTTTGTAGTTAGCTCCAAAAAGAAAAGTCAGCTCTAATTAATCTGTGGGCTTTGGAGTGTGGGAGAAACAGGGCCCAGAGAGCACAAGCTGGGGGCTGGAGGCTGGCGGGGTGAGACTCTCAGCCCCCACTAAGGCCTCAGATCTGAGGCTCATGTCTCAGATCCCTGCTCTGCTTTATTTTAAATGGTCTGGATGTGCCCGGTAGGATTTCACGGCTTTGAAAGAGTGCTGTCCCCACCCCAGAAGGCTCCTGCATCTACCATATCCATCCGCACGGAGCGCTCCACTGTGCATGAATGCTGCGGGAGGCCTGGGGTTCCTCAGGCCCTCCGAGAGCCAGAGGGGTACAGGGGGGCCTTAGGAAGAGTGCACAAGTTGCCTTTTCCTGCCTGTAGTGGAAGTCCCGGGGCCATGCTAAGTCCTTGGGGGAATCATTTGGGGGGGATCAGTGCCCATGGACAAACACTCCACTTCCTGGGCTCTTTGACTGAAACGCATCAACCCCAAGGTTGGCTCGCAGAGAACCTAGGAAGCTCAGAGAAAGGCCCGAATCCAGCCCCAGCCTTCTCCCTCAGGAAGGAGATCAGCCCAGTTCCCACCTTCTTTCCTTCTAGGGGAGGAGGGCCTACGGGAAATGGGAAAACACGGCATCTGCCGCCTCTCCCGGCTCCTAAGGCCCAGGTAGTACAGTCATTTAGGGCAAGGATTTGGGATGAGAAAGAACTGTTTTTACTACTTCCTGGCTGTGGACCTTCCGGGACTCACCTCTGTGGGCCTCAGTTTGCTCATCTGTAAATTAGGGCTAAGAATAAAGCCTTCCTCTGAGGGTTGTTCTAAGGCTTCAGTAATATGATACGGGCACAGTGGCACGTCCACAGCTGGCCCGTTGAAAAGGCCAGTGAGGCAGCTGTGATAATGTTAGCTGTCATTCTGCAGACATGTGTCCACCCACGTGGCCCCCCGCTCTGACTGGCAGAGCGGAACGATCGTGCCCTTTTGCAGAACTGAAGAGGGGCGAGAAGGACCGGCATGGCCATACGGTGGGGGGGCCAACCTGGGCTGGGTGGGTGAGCTTCTGCCCCTCCCGCCCTCACCCCAGTGCCCTAGACATCTGACCTTTAGGGCCTGTCTGACCTTTGCCCCTGGGGGCCCCACAGCCTCCAGGAGGAATAACCATCCTTAGAAGCTGCTCTGGCACATCCTGCCCCCCCGCAGGAAGGGGCTGTGTGCTTCAGGCACGGTCCTACCCCCAAGACTGCCCGCGCATCAATGCAACCCCTGCTGCCGAGTCAGCCGGACCAGCTCCGACACACTTACAGATAAACTCTCACCAGGTTTTGTGATCCACATACAGTCTGACCATACCCACCAATCCCCTTGAAAGAGAGCCAAGGTTGTAATGTTTTAAACACACCTGGCATCTCACAACATATTTAAAGTAGATCGGTGGTCATAAATGCGGATCAAATTGGTACCACATGGGTGCGCAACCCTGCTCTCCGTGTCTAGGCAGAAGGGCTGGTCCCAAGCAGGGCTGGGGGCAGCGCAGGGCCTGCTGGCCACACTGGGCTTTGATCCGAAGGAGCTAGAGAGGAAGCCTGCCTTGCTAGCCTGGCTGGCCTTTGAGAGGATGCCAGGCTGGGTCCAGCTGCCTGGGGCGGGGGGGGGGGGGGGGGCAGCAGCGGAGGTGATGATGGACGGAACTAATCATTAGCAAACTCTGCAGGCCAAGAAACATCTTTGCTAAGAGTTAAATTCCCCCCTTGCTGAAAGAAAGACCTCCCTGTATGTGTATCAAGTCTCCGGGACAGGGCAATGGAAGCAGATGAGGAGGGTCTGTCGGTTACCCCATGGGTTCCCCTTACATCCCAAACACAGGGGCAGTTCCACTGCCTCTGTCCCAGCTGGGTGTTCCCACCACCAGCACTCGCTCCTTCGTCCTTGGGCGGTGGGGTGGGGACAAACTCATCCTCCCAGCAGCCAGCTGTCTCCCCCCCCCCCCATTCCAAGCCGAGAGAAGAAGAAGCTCGGGAGATAAGCCTCCACATCCCAGAGAGGGCACAGGGAGCCTAGGCTGAGACCCTCTGCGGAGGCACTCACTTCTGTTGCCTGGACAACAACACTGGCCTGGGGGCTCGGGCGCGTGAGACCTGGCTTCCAGTTCCAGCATGATCCTTCACCAGCTGTACAACCTTGGGCAAAGCAGTAACTTCTCTGAACTTCTCATCTGTGCCAGGGGGATAATGAGCTCTAACGGGTCACGGTGAGGACCAGGAGGGATGGGGACTGAGTGAACTTTGACCGAACCAGAGATGCGAAGTATTGCGGTACTTGTCCCTGGGCGTTAGCCTCTTGATCTCAGAGCTGTGATGGAAAGCAAACTTCTGCCTGGGGATAGTGGTCACTGGCTCAAGACCCCCGCGGCCCCAGTGGGGCTGGGACCGTGGGACGAGCACCTGCAGCCTCCTGAGAGTCACCTGACACCACAGCCTTAAGCTGAGGCCTCTCCATCCTCAGAACAGTAGACCCCCAACCTCCTTTCCAGATGCACCGGGTTTTCAGTTGGTCCACAAATGTAGATGCCCGCCACTGGCATCGCTGTGCCCCCGGGGGGCCTGCACCGCACCAGGAAGCAGTAAGTCTCGCGAGTCTGCGTGCATGGTTGGAAGCAACCACAGAGGCTATAATTTCCACTTCCCGACACAATACAAACTTCTCAGTTTATGCCGAACTAATTAAAGGTCTCTCAGGTCTTGCCATTTCACCCCCCCCCCAAACACCCATAAAACAATGCGGTGAAGGCAGCCTCCCAATTATAGAGTGCGAGGAATGTGCTTCTCTGGAGCACTCTGTCCCTTTCCCAAATCCCTCCCCCTTCTTGTTCCCCCTTTGCTTCCGGCCTCCTTTCTTCTCCTGCAGCCCAGGTCCGGGTTCGGAGCGCTGCACAGGGCTCCCCGCAATGGGTGGTGCCACCGGAAGGACCCAGGCCAGACTGAGTTCCTACTCTGCCGCTTGCGAGCCATGAAACTCTGGGCAAGCCTCAGGTTCCTCATTTGTTAGATGGGAGAACAGTACCAGCCTCGCAGGGCAGTCACATGGAAGGACAGCCTGGGCACACAATGGGCATCCAGTAAGTGGTGACTACTGCTAAGATTATTCTTTATGTTATTATCGTTATTGTAATGACCACCCCTGGGCCTGTGCTCAGATTGTTTCCCTGTCTAAAATGCCATGTCCCTTCAGATTTGCTGGTTGAGGGACCACAGTGGTGGGTTAAAAATGGCCATGAATGCTTTGCTATTCCTCCCACAAGAAGCAGAGGCAGAGTTCCCTCCCCTCGCCCCACTGACGCCACATGACTTGGCCATGTGACTTGCTTTGACCGACAGGACCTCAGATAGTGTGATGGCCTTGGATGCTTTGGAAAAGCTCTCATGCACTCAGACTTGGCAGGTTTGAACATGGCCCTGGGCCTACCATGCTGTAAGAAAAGCTGTGTAGCCTACTGGGAGCTGAGAGGCCATGGCGGGGAGAACAGAGCTCCCACCCCCACCCCCCTCGTGGCGTGCACCAGCCACCCAACATGTGGATGAGATGGCTTGGCCTCTCTATCCATCATCTGACACAACTGCATGAGTGAGCCCAGAGGACAGCAGCAGAACTCCCAGATGGCCCATCCACAGAACCAGAAAGAGAGAGAGAGAAATCATCCTTTTAAGCCAGGAAGTTCAGGATGGTTTGTTACACAGCTACAGGTTAACTGATACGCCCACCCAGTCACCAGGATGGGGCTCCCAGGCTGTCTTCTCCCAGAAGACTTCCACAGACTCCTCCCAATCTGGAATTAATCTCTCTACCCCCCACCACCCATATTCACACAATGCTTTGTAACGATTGCTTAGCACAATCTGCCTTCACCAGGGTTATTTGTACAGGAATCCTTCTGTCTCTCTAGACTGCAGGTTGTCAGAAAGAAGGTCTGGGACCCCCCCACCCCCATAGCCCCCACCGTGCTCAGCATGGAGCTCTGCCCAAGGGCAGACCCTGGTCATCTGCTCCCATTTACCAGGCCCTCGGGGGCCAGTGAAGAACCTGGCCTGCCTGGGTAGAGACACAGGGATGCAGGTTGTCCGTGGGAGACCCACCTGGGTCTGGGGTCGGGCTGGGCCACTGATAGCCTGAGGCCCTGCCCCTCTGAGCCTCCTCCTGCCTCAGATGGAGACACAGACTCCTGTCCAACCCACCTCACAGATGTGAGGCTCACATTGGGCAAGCGTGTGTGCAGACATGTGTGTGCGTGACCAAGTCCTGCCCCTGCTGGCGCTGTGGTGGAGTCCTACTTGGGTTATCACTGGGGATGTAGGGTCCTTCCCTCCCCTTCCTCCTTACCTTCCGGCCGTGGTAGCCCTGGATTCCTGGGTCTCCCTGGGGGAACAAAGAGAAGAAAATTAGTGAGCTTTTCCCAAACGCCCCATTTTGGCTTGCGCACTTGCCCTCACATTGCCATTCCTCTTCTCAATGACTGTAAATCCTCCAGCCCTCCCTGGAACAATAGCTTGCTTCCTCTGAAGCCAACAGAGACTCTTCTTTTCACAACAAGTCCCCATCCTGCAGAGGCGGAGGCGTGGTGGAAAGGGTCCACCTGGCAGGGGCCCAGGAGACCTGAATTTTGCTTTTGATTCCACTGCTGACTCTCTGCTGAACTGGGACAAGTCACTTTCCCCCAGGGCTCTCAGCCTCCACACGTGCAAAATGCTTGGGCAGGGTCAGTGCTTTGCAGCTCCTGGTCCCCCGAGTGCCAGGGCACCCCGCTTCAGAGGAGAGTCAGTTTGACACGTGGGCTTCCAGACAAGGTCTCCCAAGAGACCAGATGATCCCGAAGGTCCCTTCCAGTTCTGACTCTGTAGGAAACCCTCTTTTATTGGGATGTTGTGACAGTGCCCCGGGCATCAACCTGGAGTCTCCAACCAGACCCTAAGCTCCTTGGAAGGTGGGACCACAGCGTCCATACCAGTCAGACTACCGGCTGTGCCTGGACACACAAGTGCAATCTCTGCGGGACCCAAGCTGTTACCAGGAGGAGGGTGACATTTTGAAGTGAACAAAGTGTGACCCATCTCTCACGGAGGCCACTCTCAGCGGCTCACTCGGTAGCCCGCAGAGAGCTCTCCCACCCATTCAGCGCACGGCCCGGAAGGGCCCTCACCTTTGGTCCAGGAGGCCCGGGTAAGCCCTGTGGAAGCAAGAGCAAGGTGAGTGGAAATGGAATGTGCTGGCAAACAGAGCAGGTCGGCGTGTTTGCTGCGGAGGCTTGGGGCAGAGGAGTGCTCATGAGCTGTGGGTGTGCTAGAGAACAGAGCTAGAGGATCCTGGAACGGGATCTGAAACCTGTGGAGTGTGTGTGTGCGGACAACAGGCTCATAGTGCCCTTCGGAGCCAACGTGGGGGCCGTGGGTGTCCCTGCTGTGCTCAGCCACTGGAAAATAGGTCAGCGGCAGCCTGTTAAAATGGCAAGTGTGGTTTGGTCCGCGTCCCTACCCACCCACCCACCTCCTAACTGGGACTCCTCCCTGGGACGCCAACCCTGCCCAGCAGAGCCTTGGTTTTGCCTTTGGCCCTGCCAGCCTTTGGGGGAGTCTTCTGTCTCCTTTGGCCCAGGGTGCTGTGACCACAGCCCTCGGCCGTGGGGAGGTGGTGTGGGCCGCGGGCCTGCAGGAGCCCGAGGGGAGAGGCGAGGGCAGGCTGGCTCCACTGCGGTCTGGGGCAGAGGTTTGGGCAGCACACACAGGCTGGAGGAAAGCAAGATGCCCAAGTCTGGTCTGTTCCCATGGGTTTCAAAACATGCTTCCTGGTTTTTTCCTTTATATAAACACCCTAACAACGAAAGCCACCTGGCTTGGGTTCAGTGAGTGGGAACCTGACATGTTTGGGGGGGTCAGGGTCAGCGAAAAAGTGGATTTTGGGTATTTTGGGGGGGTTCTCTCAGCTTGGTTTGGTTTAGTTTCCTAAATTTCACTTCCTTTCAGGTTTTCCGTTTTCCCATCTACAAACCCATGGCAGTGAGACTAGTCTTTCTCCCTGGGGTCTCAAAACATAGAAGTATTTAAAATCCATTGTGGAGGTCAAGCTGGGCAGGAGGGCAGGCAAGTGAGGTTTTCACACCGAGCTGAGCTGCCACGCTGGGTGCCCTGGGTGGCCAGAGCTACCGCCGTGCCTAGAGGGGCCCTACACTGAGCCTCAGCATTGGCGGCTAGAGCAGCTGCGAGGCGCAGGTGTGAGGCTGAGCGACACGGAAGGCGGCCGTACTCGATGAGTGGCAGGGACGCCGCCAACCCAGCCATTCTATCACTGGGAATCTATTGCAGCGAAAGCATCAGAAATGCACACACACATTTATGTTCAGGGATCTCTATCACAGAAGGGAGCTCTTTACTCATAAATAGGCCCAGCAGCCCTAAAATTCATTTCATGGGAGACTCCAGCCCAAAGAAAGGGTGTGCTTTATGATGTTGAGTGAAAAACATAATGGGACACAAACTGTGACGTTACTCAGAATGCGACCAGCCTGGAAAAATGTTTACGAGCAGACAAGTCTAAGGAGAAAAATGGCAGGACCCTCCAAAATGTTAATGTTGGTGAGCTCTGGATATGGCAAAATAGACAATTTAAAATGTTTTCTTTGTCCATGTTCCAAAATTTTCACAATCATGCATGGTGCTTTTGTCATAAGAAACAAAAACAGTTCTTTTTCAATCATGTGAAAGAAACATTACTAGACAGACTTTGTCCTTCACCCTGTCCCTTCAGTAACATAGGACATTCGTCTTGGCTCTAAGATTGAAAGAACCCATTGAACTGCCCGGCTGCTCAGTTGCACTAAATAGGTCGAGAGAGCAAGGTCCTGGCCAGGGCTTGGAGAGGGGGCGCTTGGTGGACCCTGGGTTTGACCTACTGCCTGAGCGTTGTCTTGCCTGGAGGGGGCGCCTCTTGGCTCCTGGGCCCACAGCACGACCCAGCAATTCCACCTCTGGGAACCTAAAGCCACAAAAGGGGCAGCCTCTTAGCGATTTCCTCCCTGGAAGTCAATGACTGCCGTTGAGGCCTGGCCCCAGAACTGGGTTTTCAGAACCAGAGCACAACAGGTGAGTGTGGCAGGGATGGGCAGCTTCTTGCAGGAGCCACCCACGTCCAGTGGCCTTGCTAAGGTGTTTCTACCGTTGGGTGGGGACCCAGGTTCTTGTCAGCGATGTAAGGTTTGGATGCTTCCAGAGAATTCTTGGGACAGATCTTGGAAAACGAGGTGGTAGAGAGAGAAAGAAGATACTTACGGGTGGCCCCATGGGCCCTGGCAGTCCCGGGGGCCCCAGAGGTCCACTTGGTCCAGGCGGGCCTGGTGGCCCCGGCGGGCCTTGGATGCCGGCCTGGCCCTGTTCACCCTGATGTTGGTGGAAACAAGAGTTAGGGGGAGAGCCCCGGGGCTGGGGAGCAGCTCCCGCCCCAGTACCATGCACCCAGTGAAGGCCCCGTGGAGGGCTCTGGTGGGCAGGCGGTGTGGCGTGGTGGTGATGATGCTGTGGTGGTGACCGCATGCAGGGACCAGTGGCAGCAAGGAGATGGCCAAGACACTAGGCCCCCAAGAGGTGGGGGGGGGGGGTTGTCCAGAGAGGACCTGCTGCACAAGCAGCTGGTCCCAGAGCAAGAGCCCTGCTGGGGCAGAGGCCGAGGAGTGAGCGAGATGACCCTGCCCGACCGCCGGCACGCTCCCGGCCCGCTCAGATGCCGGGGGTCCGGCCCAGGGGGTCCTCAGCCCGGCCTGCCTCGGCCCCTCCCTCTGTGTGGCAGTCACATCCTCTGTCTACGCCGGGCCTCCAAGGCATTCAACGACAGCAGCAGTCCCTTGTTTCTGCTGTCTGATTCTCTGGCCTTGAGTGTCATAGAGGGTCCTTAGGTCAGAGGCCACAGAAGTTGGCGTGGTTCACTAAACCACTGGGCACTAGATCTTGTGTAAAACATTTGGACTGGGGGCTTCTGATGTCGCACTGGGAGCCCTGGCACTCGACACCCACATTCCTGCGGGCAGTCACACCTCTCGGGCCTGGCCTGGGTTCCCCAGGTGCCTCAGCCCCCACTCCCCCATCCTTTCTGCGTGTGGCCTGCTTCTGTCACTTCCGTCATCTGTGCCTGGCCTCAGAGCACAGTTGAGTCTGCAACCCTGAGCTTGGTTGATTTTGACACTGTCAAGTGCCGTATGCCTACATGGGTCTCGATTAGTATTCTTCTGCCCTGCCCCCACTCCTCAGTCAGCTGCTCTGAGCCCAGCCCTCGTCACCCACTGTGCCTGTGTCCCGGATGGGCTGAGGGCCCAGGGAACTAGGGGTGGCATTGTGTTTCCTCAGGAGGAGGAGAGAGCCTGGTCCATGTGACCCACATCATGGGGCCGGGGGCCAACCAGAGTCCTCCTAAATCTAGACCGAAGCTGTCATGTTATTTTCTAAGTGAGCTCTCCAGGGACCGTCTGGGCTCAGCTCCTGTGAGAAGGGGCCCATCCCTGCAGACTGACTAAAGCAGAACAGGCTGGCAGGCGTGCAAGCTCCAGGCTGGGATGCAGAGGGACCCGGGTGACTGGGATGTAGGGGGACACGGCCAGCTGGAGCTTCAGGCCGGCCAGCCTTCTCGGGGCGCTCTCAGCAACCCTCTGTGACAGGAACAGGGGGCTGAGGGGCCGTCAGCTGTCCTCCCTGCTGCAACCCCACGGGAGGAAAAGATGAGTAGAAACAAGGGGTGAGCAGCCTCAGAGTGAGAACTGTGGGATTCCAGCAGCACCTGCCGGAACCTCCCTCGGCTGGGACATCCTAGTGCAGATGGCACCCAGCATGGTCACGCTGGGGCCTGGCCTTCATCCTGCTGTACCCTCTGAGAAGCCACTCAAGGGCACAGAGGAAGAGGCGGGGGCAGAAATGGGTCATGAGGCCCATTCCACAGAAGAGAAAACAGGCTCAGAGAAGTTGAGCTCCCTGACCGAGGTCACGTGGAGAATTCCGTGGGGAGCCAGGACCCAAACCTGGAACTCCAGACTGTTCTTATTCATTCCAAATAAGCCCCCAGGAAAAAACCAAAACAAAACAAAACAAAACTGCTCCCTGTCCAACTTTCTGCACTTCGGAAATGACCTCCAACACCATCTGCCAAGTACATCATATTTCATATAGTTTCCTCTTTCAGCAAATGTCAGACTCAATGTTTAAGCGTCTTACAGAGCCTGTAAAGCAATATTGGTTTATTGATAGGAAATGGGCAAGCCTTTTTATGTCCCATGATGGCCAGCAGCAGAAAAACCCTAATCTCCAGGCAGGCTCTGCAGCAGGCAGAGTAGGGCCCCCTATGCTTCCCTCTCCGCTTTGGAAACCAGGTCGGGGCAGCACAGAAAGTTCTGGCTCGCCCACGCCTTGCTCTTGAAAAGGGAGGGAGTAACGTGCAGGGGCCTGGATAGAATCCTGGGCACCCTCTCAATTTCTGCATCTGTAAGGTGGGCATGATGACGACGGCCCCTGTACCCCCGGGTGGCCAGTGTGACCTTATACCAGATAGTCCATGTGGCATTCTTACCGCAGTGCCTGGAGCCCAGGAGGTGGCTAATGCAACTAAGGCCAGGAGGTGGCTCCTGGGGGCTGAGGCAAACGGCCAGTCTAAGAAGCAAGGACAGCTCTTCTGGAATGGGGTCTGACACAGGTAGGGGCAGGTGATGGGGGTGGGGGCTGGTGCTTCTCTGAGCTGCCAGGGGGCCCCCTGAAGAGCTGTGCTTGGAGTTGGTGTTGGGAGCACATGGAGGCTCTCGAGGATCTGGCTGCTGTAATGGGATATGCAGGCTCGAGTAGCCCACGCATCACGTGTCCCGCTGTATTTTTAGCTGTTAATTGGAGGGATTTTTCAGCCTTGTTCAATCAGGAGCCTGAACTGCTGGCCTCTGGGCTCCTGACTGCTGAGTGTGGCCAGATGGTGGCTCTGGACCCTGCTGTCCGGCTTTCAGAGAACATCTCAGAGCCCCGCCCTTTCCAGCATCCCCGTGACCTTGGGGGTAACCCCTGCACAGTGTGGGGAGGGCTGGGGGTGTAAGTGGCAGCCGTGGGCCGCCTGGCCTAGAATCCCGCTGCAATGCCTATGCCTGGATCCCTGGCTCTGCGGTCTCTTGTTTTCTGTTCTTTGCAACCTGGTTCTGTCCCAGCCTCCTTGGGTGCGTAAGGCAGGAAGAAGGAAGCAGTTGCTCACAATGATTACACCCGTTGGTTGTGGGCTACATTCCCTCTGCAAATTCCCTCACTCCTCAAACTCAGGTGACAAGTGATCAGGTGCTAAAACAATCCTTTTCTAAATATAAACGGTGTAGGTCCAACCGAGAGAGCCATGAATGTGGGGTCTGAAGACCTGGTCGCCGGCTTCCCATTCTGCCTCTCGCTGTTTGTGGGACCTTGGGCACAAATTCACTCCTCTGGGCCTCAAATTAAGAATAGCTCTGGAACCACGCCAGGAGCTATCCGAAGAGCTTTGCACACACAATAACCCTATGCAGTAGGAATGGTTAATACCCTCATTTTACAAACGAAAAAGCGGAGGCACAGAGAGGTTAAGCAATTTGCCCCCAATCCCACAGCTCATAAGCGTCCCAGAAGCTGAGTGCCCTGCAATCTACTGGGTGTGTGACCTCAGGCAGCTGCCTTCATGTCTCTGAACCTTGACTCCTCATCTGTGAAATAAGCATGATCGTGCCTGAGTCATAAAACGGTTGAGAGAATGAAATGAAATCAGACCGGTCAAAGGCGCAGCCCTGTGGCTGGCGCCCAGTGGTGGCTGTCGCTGTTTTGAGGAGCAGGGGCGTGTGGTATTGGTGGATCTCCTGGGCTCGGGGGTTGTGTATCTCCACATCTGTGACATTCACGGGTCCCATTCTGTCTAATCGACTTGAACTGAAGTAGAGTGGGCTTCTGCCTTTGTCTACCGTCCCAGCCGGCCCGTCGGGGCCCGGAGACCTGCCAAGCCCCTGGGGACGCCACACGTGGTCTGGACAAAGGGAAGGTGTCTACCTGGAAGGTCCGTCTTTTTATGACTGGGGGTGGAGCCAGTCGCACTGAATTGAGGAGAGGCAGCAGCTGAAGAGAGAGATGAGTTGGAAGGCCAGAGGGCAAAGGCCAAAGATCGCAGATGTTCAGAATGATGCCGAATGTCGCCAGGAAGGCAGGGTGCCCAAGTGGGAGGGGAGGAGAGGAAGAGAGAAGAGTGATTAGCAGGCATGAGGCACAGGGAGGGAAGGTGTGGATGGCGCCCTCTCGCGGCTTGAGGGGGCGCAGCGCCGAGCTCGCCCTTGGATGGCCCAGCATCCCCAAAGGAGGAGTGTGGCCCTGCGGGTGTTGGCCAGCAGCAACCCCTGACTGGGAGAGTGGCCTCCTGACGCACAGCCCACCATTGCACTGCCGGCCCTGCCTGTCCCTGGCGGAGGACGGGGGCTGCTGGGCTGAGGGCAGCAGATGCAGAGGCTCTGGTCGGGAGCCACAGAACCAGCTAAATTGGTACTCAAAGCCAGGCTGGTGTGTGGCAACCACTGGGTTCTTTTTTTGGTTGAACGAGAAAGGCTAGCATCAGCGAATCTGAGGAGGATGGTCAAGGACAGTGCCAAGTCGGGCTCCCGGGGGCTGAGCCGGCTGAGGGTGCGGCCAGTGTGAGCACAAGCTAAGTGCTGCTGAGGTCTCCCGCTGGGGCTGGTGGGTTTGGAAAATAAAGGCTGGGGGCAAGGATGTCTCCAGCATGTTCAACCACTTTTGGTGGGGAGGCAACGTTCAATCACATTATCTAATGCGATTTTCATTTTTGGAAATTCTCCTTGCTTCCAGTCTCTCTACCAATGGAAGCTGAGTGCCCTGCGGCTTTAGGAAGTGGTTAGAGCCCATGTGACAACAAAGATGGTGTATAATTGACCTCTTGCTTTTGAAAGCATTTTAACTCACACGTGGCCCCTGGGATGAGTGTTAAGAACCAGGGGCCGCCTGGGCTGAGAACTGGGAGCCCAACTGTGGCTGGCCTTTCCAGGTCCCTGCTGCCTTTAGGGGCCTCGGCCGCCCCGAGAGCCCCGCCACCTCCCACTGTGGGGCCCGGCACGTGCAATGTTGGGCTCTGCGTCCAGGGAGTCTCTCAGCAGAGAGGGGCCCGGAGACCTTCCAGAATCCACAAACCTTGAGGGTAATGATCTGGTTGGAGCGCAGAGCCGAAAGAGTGCTGCTTAGGTGCTCCTGGCGTGGGAGGGGACCGAGGTGGCAGAGACAGGGCGACCGGGGCGTGAGTGCTGGAGCCCACAGACACCAGGTGCCCTGCACTCTGTCCCAGGGTACTCCGTCCCCCCACTCCCCACCCCTCCTCTCCCTCCCTCCCTGGGATGCTGCAGGCTGGAGCAGAGGCAGGGACTAGCCTGGATCTCCCATCATCCTGTGAGCCTGGAGGCCTGCCACCCCCCTCGTTCCTGCAGAACCCTGGGAAAACCAACAGGCCCCTCTCCCTAGATGCCCCCTTGCTTTCCTACCCACTTCCAGATCAACAGGGGGGTGCCCGCTGCCTTGCTCTGTCCAACAGCTGAGCACCCAAATCTGCTCTCACCCCTGCCTGACTCGTTCCCTACCCTGCCATGGCCGGCCATAGCTTTGCTGCACTCCATGGCCAAGGTGCTTCTGGAGCCTTCCATCCCTGCTCTCTCTCTCTCTTCCTCCCCCTCCTCCCCCACCCCACCCCCACACATTCACTAGGGACGGACAATGACACGCTGCCAATTACGTGTCTGCCGTTGTGTTATCTTTTGTGCCGGGGGATGCTGTCTTCCTTTCGGGTAACATAACAATCCTGTGAGCCCATCATTTCAAATCAACACAGCTGACCTTCTATTATTGTATCAGGACCAGGCGAGCCGGAATACCGGGGCCCCTGCGTCCCCAGGGCACACGCCACTCACGGGCTGTCTGTGTGGCTACCGGCCGGCGCCCCCTGCCCGGGGCCCAGCCCGGCTTTGGCCTCAACCCCTGCCCCAGCTGCTTATGGTGAAGGCCCCCTGCAGCCTCTCCCTGGCCCAGGAACCCCGGGGTCAGAGTCTGAGTGGCGGGGCACTGCTAGAAAGGCCTCCCGGTGGCCTTCCGGAGCCACGGTGACTCTGAGCCTGACTTGCACTTGTCTCCACTTCCTTGGTCTCCTTGCCTGATGGGGTGGCAGCCAGGGAAGCCACACCGTGTGTGTGCTTCTGGGCACAGTGAGGCCCGTGGCACAGGGATGGACACACAAAGATCCTAGGGTCTGAGAGGGACATGTTTCTAGTCCCAGCTCACTGGGGCTCTCAGCAGAGGGCCCACATCTTCGCCCTCCCTGTCCCAAGAATGACCTCTTACTATACTGGTGCCCACGTCGGCAACCGCCTAGTAGGACCGCAGCCGGCTTTGGGCTCTATATCTGGGGACAAAGCAAAGCAAAGGGAGGAGCTGGGGCCTGGGGGTGACCGGGAGACCATTCCAGCTCAGAAATCCCCACCCTGTTTTGGAGCAGGCCTCCTCTAGTCCTAAGGAGGCAAAGCAGAGACTTTATCCTTGAATCGATACAGCCAGCCCCCAGTTATCTCCCACCCCTGAGGTTTGGGTCATCTGCAGCAATGACTAACCCAAAAGTCCCTCTGATTCAGCCGGGGCAGGCAGCCAGACATGCACACCCAGTCACACACGCACGCCGGGCAGGGAGTCAGACCCACAGACTCACAGCTGCACAGCCTTACAGAGAAGGCAATGTGCAGAGGAGAGGCAGGGCCAGACACCCGGAGTTCCAGATGCACACACACGCTGGCAGGCTTGCAGGCCAGCCAGCGCAGGCGCAAACACCCGGAGACACGCTCGGGCGGGGGAACACGGGCGCTGGAGACCAGTTCTGCGCAAGCACACTATGGACCACCAGGCACACTCCTGGGGACCGGCTCCCCGCCCCCCACAGCTGCTCTCTGGCTGCTGAGCACAGAAGGGGGCTGTATGCTTCTGTTCCCCAACCTCTGTGGGCGCTGGGGGCCCCAGGTGGATGAGGCTGAGCTGGGGGCGGTGCCCCAGGGATGGATCAGTTTTAGGGGTTCACTTACCCGATGTGGGTACTCTCCACACTGACCCTGGGGAAGGGAGGGAAGGAGAAGAGGGCGTTAGGCACTCTGGGGAAACTGCGCCTCAGAAGCATCCTCAGGACCAGACCTACTCTCCGCCCACCAGCCCTGCGCTGGTCCTGGATTTAACTGAGGCAGGAGAACTAACTCCCTCCCTCTCCCCTGGCTGGCAGCAGAGAAGAAACCCTGAAGGCACGCCTGGACATGGCCCCATGGAACACAGGATAGGATTCTGCTGCCATATCCCACTTGCCATGACTGCAGTCAGGAGTTATGCTCCATGCCTGGCTGGAGGTAGCTTCCAGAAAGGTCGACCCTCTGCGTGGGCCCACACAACGGTCCTGAGCAGAAGCCCCTAGATGGGAAGTGCAGACATGGAGGCGGGCTGTGGGCCCTCGGAGACGCCTTTTCTGAGGTGGGGGTGCCAGGTCCCTGTACCGTTCGCCCAAGCCCAGCCCAGCAGAGTCTCCATCAGAAATTTAAGGAAATGGAGGATGTACGAGGCCAGGAAGGGAGCTAGACCAGTGGTTTACAAACGGACACCTCAAAATCCTAGAGGCACATGGCGGTGCATCAGGAAGCACCCTGGGCAGAGAAGGGGTCTGCGGAGGGCCAGGCTCCCAGCCACCCTTCCTCCAGAGCACCCTCCATCTTCTCTACTGCGGCACCACCGAGGGTGCCCTGGTTCTGTGGGTAAATACTGGCATTTGAAAATAACCACTCTGGACCACTTTCTACCATTAGGGAGGCTGTTTCCTGCCATGAAAATTCCAGAAAAACCTCTATTAGGCTTACCTTTTCTCCTTTTTGCCCTTGAGGTCCCTAGGAAGAGACAGAAATGGCAGAGTTAGAAAGTGAGGCTAAGTCCCCTGGGGCCCGAAGCCTCCCTGCTGGGGAACTTGAGGGTGAGGTACCAACCGGCTGTCCTCGGGGACCCGTCAGGCCCTGCGGGGAGGAAACACACACAGGTCAGCAGGCGCACCGAGGCCGGGCAGGGGCAGGGGTGTGGGCCCCAGGCGGGGATCGTGCTGGGACCAGGGCTAATGCACAGTCCTGAAGGCTGGCCTCCACCACCCAGGGCCTGGTCCTCCTGTGCCCGAGATGGTCTAGGTGGTGTGGCCCATACAGTGAGTCTCAGCTTCCTCCTCCGTTGTGGGTGTGACTAGGTGACTGGCGCCCGAATGGGGCCATGATGAAGAGAAGACACCATCCCTCCTCCGTTCCTCCATCATCCCCTCATGGGCCAGCTGTGAAGGAGGCTGCATGGACACCTCAGGTGGGGCTCTGCTGTTGTGGACTGCCCTGCCTCACGCATGGCCTTCTTCTCATGAAGCAAAGAAGTAGAGGTCCAAAGCCTCTAGGGGACCCTGGCACATTCTGTCTTCTGCTCAGCACTGCCTCAGCATGAAACCCACTGAGCCAGAAGGGCTTCGGGGTACATGTGGGGGGCTTTGGAGAAACCTTTGGTGAAGAGAGAAAGCAGGAAGTTGGCGACTTGAGCCACGTTCTGGGCCCCTCAGAGGAACAAAAGGGGTCTTGGGGCTCCTTCTGGGGTGTCTTGTCAAGTGTGCAGGGCTGAGAAAGAAGTCTGGGTTCAGGGTGGACCCCTGTCCTTTGAGGAGGACACAGGGTTCAGCTAGTTGTCTCAGCAGCTGACCTGAGGCTGGTGTGGAGGGAAGAGGGGAGGACACGCACCTCGTGCTTTGAGGACCCGCTCCGAGGCTGGCGTTCAGGATGGGCTGAACTCACACCCACACTGGCCCACGGAGAAGACGCTCACGTCAGCTCCACCTCCCAGATGAGGTGATGGAGTTGGGGCCCTGCGGCTCAGTGAGCAGGGGTGCTGGGACAAGAGCCAGGGTCCGCTGACTGCAAAGGTCCAGCTGTTTACACTCTGCCACGCTCTCCGAACTGAGCTGGGGCTCAGAAGGCAGGGCTTCTAGACTTGGCTGGAGCCACAGGCAGTGTCTCAGCCTCTAGGGCCCTGAGGCCCCCTCAGGCCACCATCCTGAGGATCCACCTGCTGGACCCGTCTCTTTGGGATCTCCCTGCAGGGGCTCATGTGGGTGGGAGAAGAGCCTCTCTTGCCCCCGACTTGTCAACTGGACTAATCACCAAACTGGGAAGTTCCCAGCAGGTTCATGGGAGGGGACAAGTGGCCTTTGGGACAATCCATGGGGCACCGCAGCCCATCCGGCTGACCAGGTGTTCAGCATAAGACCCACAGAACATGCCACATCTGGCAGGGAAGCAGCCTGCAGGTGACCGGGCCGCCCCCTCTCATGACAAAGAGAGGCGAGGGATGAGAAGGGGAGGGCCAGCGGCTGAGGACAGCAACACAAAGGTCTGGGGCTGCAGAGCCTTGGAGGCTCCAATCCAGATGTCCCTGATGGTGGCCCATGGTACAACAGCGGTTCCCAGAGGTATTGCGTTGACACCACACAGTTTCGTGTCAGTGGATTGCCAACATTTAAGAACAAGGAGAGTATGACACAAATCCGGATTTCAAGTTTCTCTTAAATATTTCAAGGTCCAACAACAAACGGCACCAGTTAGCTCTAGCTGAATAGCGGCTGCCCCCATTAGATGGGTCACAGGGGATGCGCTAAGGTGCTTGGCCCCCCTCCCCTGGGCCGGGTACTGTCGTGAGCCCTTGGTGTGAATGCCATCTTCCCACCCTCAGGTCAGCTCTGAGCAATGGGATACGTGCACTCAAGAGTCCCGGCTCTCCTTCCTGGCACCTGTGGGGTCCCCAATCCTGTCTATACCTTACATTCAGTTCTGGGGGCTCCTGTGGGGCGGGTGGGGCAGGGGTGATCCCCTTTTGAGGTGAGGACACTGGCTAAGCATGTGAGAGTGAGCCCTAGCCCCCCATGTTGGACGCCTCGCAGAGGGGAAGCCATTTGGGGATGGAGGTGAGTAGGAAACAGATGATAAGCAGGCCAAGGTAATTACACTAGACAGTGTGTTGAATTAATAGCGCGGGGTCCCCGTGCCAAGCCAAACAGAAGCCTGATGGTTCTGGGGCCTGTCAGATTCTGATGGATGACTAAGAGGCAGACAGGGGATCTATTACACTGGTGTGGGCTCATGGGAGATGGGATGACCTTAGCCTTTCCCCCCCAAGTTAGTTCTGTCCCCCAAACAGACAGGGGAGACTCATGGGTGGTTCACTGGGGTGGGGCAGTGGGATGGCAGAGGAGATGCCCCATAGAAGGGTTCCTTTCCCTCAAGACAAAGGGCTCTGGCAGCAGAAAAGAGTGTGGTAAGACCCCACCACATGGGTCTCAATCCCAGCTCTGTGATTTAGAAGCTGTGTAGCCTTGGGCAATATACCCAACCCCTCTGTGCCTCTATCTCCCCTTTTGTAGAGTGGGGATAGTAAGCTGTTACGAGGATTACGGAACAGTGCCTAGTTGACCATCTTATTACTTCTGGGTTGCCACGGACTGTGTTACGGTTAGTGTCAGGCCACTAGGAAGGGGAAGAGGGTGGCAGGGAGGGGTTGAGGGAGGAAGCACCCCAAACGCCTGGCATCTAAACCCCAATGCCTCTGGAACAATGGCAGCATGGAAGGGTTCCTGCCTTGGTCTCCATTGCTTCCCACGTGTGCCAAGCAATGCTTGGAACAGGGGAGGGGCAACAGGACATGCACCTGCAGTGGGGCTGGCCGTGATGGATAGGAAAGCTGGCCGGGCACCTGGGCTCCAAAGCCAACTCTCCCATCCACGGCCTCCAGAGCCTCACTGCCCTTTTTCTGTGGCTATTTTAAGAACTTGCCTGCCTCGGGCCTTTGCACGTGCTGTTTTCCCATGTCCGGGATGCTCTTCCCCATTCCTTTTTCTCTTAGTTAAACCCTCATCCCTCGGGCCACCGTTCACGTCTTTCTCAGAAAGCCTCTCTGACCCTCAGCCTGGGTGAGGTGCTGTTTACTGGGGTTTCTCAGGCTAACTGGCACTGCCTTTTTATAGCACGATTGCCAAGGTAATTTGTTAATTATGCGTCTGATTGTTTAAATGCACGTTCCCCCACTAGATGGTGAGCTACAGGATGGCAAGGACAGTGTCTTTCTTACTCCTGTCTGAACCCCCGCTACCTGGCACAGTGCCCAGCGTAGTGCAGATACTCAGTAAGAATGTGTTAAGGGGAGGCAGGGGGCGGGGAGATAGGGAAGGTGAGAGGGAAAGGGAGGAGAAAGGCAATAAAATGTGGAGGGAAGGAATTAGAGAATTGGATTTGGATCGGGTTTCTGATGCTCCCTAGCTGTGTGACTTAAGGCAAGTTACTTAGACTCTCTGAGCTTCAGTTTCCACCGTGTCAAGGGGCTACTAGTAGGACCTGGAGCACAGGCTTATGCTGAGGATGAAGGAGATGACACGCACAGGACTTAGCTCCGTGCCCACCACATAGAAAACCCTCAATGAATGTTAGCTGGGCCTGAGTTAACTGGATAGGCTGAAGCCCAGAGGGTGCTGAGTTGCTAAAGGTCCCATGCAATTTAGGGGGAGCTGGGGCGAAGGCCAGGTCTCCTTTCCCATCCACAAAGTTAGCCACCTCTGCACCCCAGTTGTGAGCGGAGGGTGTCCCCATGCCTGCACTTGGAGCAAGACGTGCACCAGAGCCGGGCTGGACAGGGAGGCGGGGAGCCTGCCATGCTACACATTCCAGGCCCTTCTGTAGGAGGGGGGTCCTCCCAGTGTAGAGATGACCACCCGGGGGGGGGCTGGATAGCATCCCAGCCCGGGGCTGGCCCATCTACTCCTTTTTTTTTTTTTTTTAAGATTTTATTTATTTATTTGACAGAAGGAGAGAGACGCAACGAGAGAGGGAACACAAGCAGGGGGAGCGGGAGAGGGAGAAGCAGGCTTCCCGCGGAGCAGGGAGCCCGAGGCGGGGCTCGATCCCAGGACCCTGGGATCATGACCTGAGCCGAAGGCGGCAGATGTTTAACGACTGAGCCACCCAGGCGCCCTTGGCCCATCTACTCTTAATGGCCCATCCCTTCCATGGAGAACTGGCCCCCTCCCCTGGAGGGGGTGGCCCTGGAGAAGGGGCCCTTCTGGAAGGAGTGGCCTGGGGGAGACCGTAGAGACAGGAAATCCCTTTACAAGGCTTTGCAGAAGGTGGAAGGGGCTGGGAGGAAGGTGGGGACACCCGTCCGACTCTCCAAGTCGGCTTTGTGCCCAGCCGGGACAGGAGCGCTTGGAGTCCTGGGGCAGCCCGGAGCAGGGCCGGCACTAGGAAGTCCGGTTGCAGAAAAAGAGCTAGATGGGCTCCGCCCCGCCCCGTCCGGTTTACATTCAGCCCTGAGGCAAAGGCGTGGCAGTTCGGGAGCCCCTGCCTCTACCTCTGTGGGACACTGGTGACCTGGACCCTCTCCGGACTTCCTTTTCCTCATTTTTCAGGTGGAGGAGCCCCCTGCCCACCTCTCCTCCCTGCGTTGATGTGAGGACCTAGGGGTTGCGTTGTATACAGCTGGGGAGTGACCGTGGGGGCAGCCACTTGAGGGTCCCTGTGGGTCCCCTTTGCGGGGCGGCACTTGGCTGCGACCAGGCTGACGCCCCCCACCCCTCAAGGGAAGGCAGGAAAGCTGGGGTCTTACCATCTCCCCTTTGGGTCCGGGGTGGCCCTGGAAGGAGAAGGGTGTGAGCGCCGGGTACACTGCACCCCGAAACCCCCGCCCTGCCCCCTCCATCAGCCACTGCTCATTTTGCACACGTCTTCTTGCTCCCTGCCCTGGGCCCACTGGCTCAGGCGTGGTCACCCCCCCCGCCCCCCCTTTAGCTGGATCTTACTTAGCAGCTGCCAAGCCCTCAAGAGCCCCTGCCCCATGCACACACCCGGGGCAGCTGGGAGGCACGCTGGGTCCTGGGGGCTGAGTGGGAAAGACCACCAGACCCCTCACTGTGCTCAGCTCTGGGCTGCAGTGGGGGACTGACCAGGCGGGTGGCCAGGCCCTCACAGCGGGGGGCTGGGCTCCGGGGCGAGGCGAGTGCGTGGGGCTGGGCTTGGCACTCGTTGCCTTCCCTTGTCATCTCTGAGGGCAGCAGAGGGCTCCAGCTCTCCCCCAGCTCACGCCTTCCGAGGAGTGGGGCGGGGTCTCCCTTCCCCCAAGAACATTTGGGTCTGGGGCCCAAGCCCAAAGGATTAAAATGGACAGAGAGAGGAGCTACGGATGGGGACACAGACTCCATGTGGATGTGGGTATGTGGGGAGTCCACCAGGGCGGGAGACTGGAGGAGATAGGGTGGCGCAGGCGGCTGCCTGGTGGTGCTGGGGAGCAGGTGTGAACCGGTGCCCACGCTCCATTTCGAGTCAGCGGCTTGAGCTCTCCACCTGTCTTCCCTCCCTGCTGCCTCCCCGCCTCACCCCCTACAGCAGCCCCTTCCAAGGGCGCCTCAGAAACACCAGCTTCTAGGGCTGGTTCTTGCTCCAGACGCTGAGAACCCAGCTTGGCCGGCCGTGGACTCGTGCCCCGGGGAGGCTCCCTGGGGCCCCAGCGGGGGCAGCTCATTCCATCGGCCCCTCCCCACCTCACATTGGCAATGATTTCCTGCCCCGGGAACATCCATTCTCGCCGGAGTTTCTCCCGCCGAGTAAGGGTCTTGCAGAAGGACTGAGGACCCGGGGTTAGTGACCTGGATCAAGCGGGGGAGAGGAGCTCACAGCCCGAGAGGGTCCACTCACCGGTTTGCCATCGAGCCCAATGGGACCCTGAAAGGGAAAGAGGCCACGTGTCAAGACGACAGCACAGGTCTCCTGCCAAAGAGGCGGCCCGGGGTAGTGGTCAAGGGCACAGGTTCTGGACTCCAAGTTGGGGTTCAAGTGTCTGCTTGACCACTTCCTGGTTGTATGACCATGGGTAAGCTTAAGCCTCAGTTTCTTATCCTACAATGGGGATAATAGAGTCTTTCACGAGGGGTCTTTGTGAGGAGTGAACGAAATGCCACCTGTCCAGCACCCGGCATGAGGGACAACCTGAGGGAGGACAGTCACCAGGGCGATCGCAGACCTACCTCCTCCTCCTTCCCCTGAGTGGAAAGTGAACTGGGTGTTGCTAGGAAGCCTGGGACTGGCTAGCACCAAGGGCCCGGGGAAAAGGAGAGCTAGCTGCTTCCCTGCCCTCCTCTTGGAACCTGTCCTCGACCCCTCGGGCAGGGGGTCACAGGGCATCCTGAGGGCCACCCGACCGCCTCCTGCAGGCGGGTCTCCTCTCCAGACCAGGTCGGAGGTTGCTTCCCTGAGGTGCATCATCTGTCCCACATTCCAGGGTCCTGCTGGGGCTTACCCAGCCTGTGACTTCCCCCGCTTGTCCCTTCATTTCCCTATGACTGCCCCTGTCCTGTCTTGCACTCTGGGCTGAGTGTCAGCTACTCTCCTCAGCGGCTCTCTGGGAGAGGCTGCGGGAAGGGGTCCTTACTGACCGGAGTTTGGAAGGTCGAGAGCAGCTTGAGGGCTGGCCCCCCATGAAGGTTAACCCAGCCAGGCCCAGGGGTCCCCGGGGCCATGGCTCACCGGGGCCCTCCCTACTTACCGGAAATCCAGGGAAACCTCGAGTGCCCGGCTGACCCTGGAAAGAGCAGGAGAAGACTGAGGATGGGTGAGGAGGGGATGAAGCTAGACCGCGTCCCCTTTGCTCCCAGAGGGCCTGTGTGTTGCCTCCCACTCCTCTGGGGTCCTCCGGGGGAGATACTCCCCGTGGTGAGCTGGCTATAGGGGAGGCTGGAGAAAGATGGAAAGAACACCAGAGGAAGCCTCCTCCGGGGCCTGGGGAAAAGGAGGGGCCCAGCATCTTTCGGGTCCTCCATGCCCTGAACCCCGACATATGAGCCGGTGGCTGGAGGACATGGACAGTGGGGACCGGCCTGCCGCACTCTGAACTCCCGGCTGCGATCTTCTGAGTCCTTTTTATTTACGCAGTCGTTGCCAGGGCCGATTGCATGAGGATGGTTTGGACAGCAGAAGCTGACCTTCAGAAGGTGTGTTTTCAGGCCACACGGGTCAGAGCTCTTGTTTTTCTCTTGCCCTGGTCCAGCGGGCCCCGCCCCCAGTTGGGCAATCTCTGGGTCCCCCAATCTTTGTGCCCGTTCACGCCCATTCTCCTGCAGGTGCAGAGGGCCACTTGGGTCGGTATTTGGGCTGGAGACTAGAAGCCGCCGGTCACGGCCCGGTGGCCTCCGGTCCAGACTCAGGGCAACAGAGACGTGCTGAGGTCAGAAGCAGCGTGGGGCTGGGCAGACCCAGGGCTGGGGAGGGCTGAGCGGGCAGTCAAGGCCAGTGGTCCCTTCTTCTCATGTGTCATTCACAGCCGATCCAGTCTCACTAGCCCCGTTCCCGCCCCATCTCCCCCACTCCTCGCTCAGGCACACGGTTCACCTGCTTTCCCTGCACATACCCCATCTTCCCCACTGTCAGCCCTCAGCTGGGCGTCTCCCTTTGACCGAGGCGGCCACAGTGTCCTCTCAAGCTTGGGCCTCCGAGTCTGGCAGGCTGAGCTATAAGTCCTGCCTCCAGCAGCCTCAGCTGGGTGACTAAGTCCTTAGGCTTCCCTTTCCTCGGTCCTATAGCATGGGGACAAGAGCGTAACCTCACAGGGTCACTGAATCACATCCAATTGTACTTGTAAAGACTGCTAAAATGGTAGCTGCCGCTAATCCATCAACGTTTGCTGGATTGAACCGAACCAAGGAGCACCAGAATAAAGCCCTCGGAGCCATGGACGACGGTCCCTGCCAAGTGGCAGTTTCCAAATCAGATCCCATCGGGAGGGAGATTTCTCCACATCCATCTGCTGTGAAGCGGGAACATCTCCAGGCTGCTTGGGTCTTCCGTGAAGCCACGGCAGGAGGGCCCAGAGGCCTCTGCTCGGGGGACACGGCTGAGTGGGACGGGGACCCTGCCATCAAGGTGGGAGCGTCAGTCAAGTGGGGACGGACCTGCAGTGTCCTACGGGGTCGGTATGGGCTTGTGGCAGGCAGCCCAAGGGCAGGAGGGAGGACATGCCACTCAAATGTCGGAGAGCCCCGGGCTTCGCTCCTCTCAAGGGTAAGTGATGCTAAGAATAGCACTAAGGAGAAAACCCGGAAACCCTGCGATGTGGCCTCTGGAACCTCACAGTGTAAACTTTCAGCTACTCCGAATGCTGAGAGGCCCGAGGACAAAGGTCAGGAGGAAAGGATTCCAAGAAACATCTTCAGGTCCCGCTCGGGATAATGTTTACACGGTAGGGATAAGCACATGGTTTGCTAATTACAGAGCCTGCCCGGGAGCAGGATGCATCTCCCCAACTCAGAGCCAAATCCAGGGCTAACCAAGGCTTTTTCGGGATCTTGGGAAGAATGTTGTCACTGACCAAATGGAAACTGGGACTCTACTTCCTGGAGATGCTGGGCTGGGTAAGGCATCCTGGAACTGGATTTTAATTACATCTCTTCAGTTACACGCTGAAGTCGGACCTCTCTTGCAGTGTTTATTGGCCGGTCATTTACTGGTGAACCGCCTGTTCGTGTTCCTTACCAACAATTTCCCCTTGCTTGTTTGTTTCCCATTGGCCCGAGGACAGCTCTCTGTCAAGGTCGGTAACTCTTTGAGGGTCACGTGCGTCGCCAATATTCCTTCCAATTTGGCATTTGTCTTTTTCATGCTGTATTTCCTGCCCGATGGAAGTTTTGCATTCAGGTGGACACACTTATCAATCTTCTCCTATGGCTCCTGGGTTTTATTCCATGTTTCCAGGGGACCTCCCATGGCGGACTTCATAAATGTCTGCTCACGCTTTGTCCTCGTATTTTATGGTTTCATGTCTTACATCTGAATATTTTATCCATTTGGTATTTATTCTGATATAACAAGTGAGGTACAGATTCAGTTTTTTTTTTTTTTTTGGTTTTACCTTTTGGTAAATGGCTTGTCCCCTGTCCCAGCATCATCTCTGAAACAATCTATTTTCCTCTTCCTACTGTGAAATGAAACCTTTACCACGGACTAACTTCCCAGATGCGTTTGGCTTTCTTTCTGGCCTTCCCATTCTGTCCCCTTTAACTGCTCTGTTTTTATAATACCCTGGATATCGAGTAGAACAACCAGTCCTGTCTTCCCCTACTCCCCTTACCCTATTTTTCAGAAAGTTCCTGACATCCTTATGAAAGCTTACTTTTTTCCCCCCAAATGAAATGAATATTATTCTGTTAGACTCCAACCCCATAAAAAATTCACTGGGATTGGGATCATATTAAAATTATGGATTATAGATTTATTCATAGATTAATAATGCATTAATACTATGTCCTTCCATGTAAGAACAAGGGGGATAAGCTTTACATCGCTCTCCCAAATCTCTTCTCTTAATTCAAGGCCAGGGTGGAAAGGGAGCCAAGTGGATCCCTGCTTTTTGGAAGTGGACCCCGATGCCTACTCCTACCCGTAATTCGTGTGGGGTAAAGCCACAGAGACAGACAGAAGGCTCACTCTCCCTTCCTTTCACTCTGACCCCTGAATGAGGGTCAGTCCCATATCTGCCCAGAGTCCGCCTCCCACTCCAAGTCCGTGCTGACTAACTTTCAAACAAGACCCCGTGTTGGTCAGTGTGTAATCGTTGGCTGAGGTGACAGAGGGTGGGAGAGAAGAGCCCTGCTTTCTATAGGATCTGCTAATCTCTGTGGTGTAAATAAACCTCCCACCACAGCTGATTTTAAGCTACCAATGTGATGCCACTGAACACAGAGTTGGGAGGGGGTGTGCACGATCTGCTCTCATGAGCCGGGTGAGCCAACTCCAGCTCTGACCTCCAGCAGCAAATGGGGGGCCAAACATCTCCCTTTGGACATTACAAGGACATCTCAAGTTCATCATGTTCTGGTTAAACTCATCTTCCCCAGCAAAATCCGCTCCCCTATCTGGAGAAGGCTACCACCATCTACTTGGTTACTCAAGTCAGAAAGGTGGAGGCATCCTGAACTCCTCCTTCTTTCTCAATCCCCAATTTTATCATCAGTAAATAGGTCACTTCCACCTCCAAAGTTCCCACCAGTCCAGCCCTTGATTACCGCAAGTGCCTACCAGCCAGTCCCCCACCTGTAGCCGCTTCTTAAACACGCTCCATGCCAGGGCAGGGATAGGAGATCTTTTTAAACTGCAAATCTGAGCACGTCCATCCTCAGCTGAACACGCACCAAGGCTGTCCACTGCCCTCAGGATAGAGTCCCGACTCCTGAACACCCCGTCCAGGTTCTTCTCGACTGGGCCCTTGCTCACCTCACTGGCCTCGGCCTTGCTTTGCCATGTAACGCACTTTCCCTGTTTCTCCGGTAGTTTATAAGAACCTCTTACCGGGGGGCTCCTCCCCAGCCTCACAACCTGGGAACCTCTGCTCTTCCTTGATCATAGTTTAGTTACCCCTGCTTCCTGGAAGCCTTCTCTGTCTGCCCACACCCCAAGGCAGGTGCCTCCTCCGCGTATCGTTCCCCATAATCCTCGGCCACAGAACGCTTGCCCACTTGGCCTCTCCCCCTTAATGGCAAACATCCCCTTGGTCTTCCCCTGCTCCCTGCGCTCACCAGCTCTGTGTGGCTTCCTGGGAGGAGTGGAGGTGGTTGCCCTGGTCTCTAGCGAGGACTCAGCGGGGGAGGCCCCAGTCTCTGGGGTGATGGTCACCCCCACAGGCCAAAGTAGAAGGAGGCTGGGCTTGGTTAGGCCTCCCGGTACTATAATCCCTCTCCTACCACCCAGGCTGCACCCACACGGAGAACTGTTTCTTCTCCTGAAGGTAAATATCCCTTTTAAAGGGTAGAGCTTGAAACAGGGAGGGCAGAATTGCGGTGAGAATGTTGGCTTTGGAATGAGGCGAAGCTGGACCAGCTCAAGCTCTAGCACTGACCTGCTGAGTGGCCTCAGGTGAGTTAGGAAAGTCTCAATTTCCTTCTCTGGGAGATGGGCTGGCGGGCCTGCCCCACAGCTTTGTTGGGAGGACCGACAGAGGCCTGGGCATAGGTGGGCTTCCAGCACAGGCCGTAGGACAGGATAGGGGCCCAGGGGACGGAATTTATCACTATTACCTGAAGAGAAGGTACTTCTTGCCACTGGAGTCAAATCCCGTGCAGGAGGTATGGTTCCTCATCATGCACACTGAGCCAGAAGCCAGGGGAGCTGAGGCAGACCCCTGCCCCCGAGCGTGTCCTCCAAAGGGGGGCCTTTTCAACAACTTTTAGGTAGCTCGTTGGCACGGTGCTGCCAAAAGGGTGTTGGAGGACCGGGGTGATTTGACACAATGGGGTCTGTGGTCAGACTGGGAGGCAGGCCGAGGTGGTGGCCAAGGGGTAGGGCCTGTACTCTGTTACTCTTCTGTCCACCCAACAGGCCGTCCTGGCTTGGTCCTGGCCGTTAGAGCCCGGGGACTGGCTTTCTCGGTGACCTTTCTTGGTGACCTTGCCAGGAGTGGCTGGGTTCAGGGCCTGCTCGTGGTGGTTCCTCTCATGAAGCTTACGGCCCATCGGAGCAGTGGCCACATGAGCCCAGAGGCCCGGATGCCAGTAACCCCATGGCCCGGCGGTCTGTTGCAGCGGTGGGGGGGTGCAGAACGTAGACTGAGCCACGCGGCCCGGGCTGAGCACCTGAATCCCCACGAGGCCGCAGTCGAGTGAAAGATCTTGGGCAAGTCGCTCGGGCCCTCTGTGCCCGGCTTTTCTCACCCATGAAATGGAGGGGCTAATAGTACCTCCCGGTGGGTTTCTTATGAGGATTAGGTGAGTTACAGTGTGTAGCAGTCTTAGGACGCTGCCTGCCCCAAATTCAGTGCCACGCGTCAATCCTTAACTTCGTCCCTGGGGTCAGAGCCAGAGGGAATCTTGCCCAGGAGGCCAGGTCTCTGCAGCCCGGGACCCTTTCAACCCTGCCTCCAGCCTCGGCCCCCCACCGGTCTGCCAGCCCTGCTCCCCAGCTCTGCCCTTTGGCTCCCCACCCTGACCCGCCCCCCGCCTCCAAGCAGCCCTGAACGGCAGAGCCTCAGCTCCTCGCTCTTGGCACAGCCCCTGCTGTGGATGGGATTTAGCAATCGGCTCTCTGGTCCTGCTCCCTAGACTATGGGTAGGAGATGCTCCCACTTGCACTGGCTCCTCCTGGTGAAGGCAGGGGAATGGGCGGGCTGGACTCCACACCTCCACTGGGCTGGCCTCACACTCCCAGAGGCTGGCCCTCTGCTTCCCTCTCCCTCTCACTGTGCAGGCAGGACAGGAAAAGTGCACAGTAGAGCATGGAGATGGTGGCCTGATTTATGGGGGAAGCCCTGGGTGCCAAGGGTCCTGGGTTCTAATCCTGTCCCAGCCTCTATGTGTGGGCCCCTGGCCCCTCGCTGGGCCTTAGTTTCCCCTTCTGAGGGGGCTGTGCTAGACCATTGCTGAGGTCCTTTCTACCCTGACATTTGGTGATTGTCCTGATGCCCTGTGGTTTGGGCTCTCCTTACCATGGTCACAGTATCTTCCCACATCATCACCCAGGTCCCCTTTTGGTCCCTAAGGAAACATATCGGAGGGGAAGCCTCTGATTTCTCCGAGCCCCGGGCCACTGGGTAGAGGGACTAAGAACGAGGTCTTTGAGGACGAGTGGTGGGGCAGGCCTCTGCCGAGACCAGGAGTGGGTGCTTGGGGCAGCGGATCTGGATGCTGGGTGTCTGCTCCAGGGGCTTCTGGAAACAAGGCTTGTCCCCTGGAAAGCTGGAGCAGCCCATCTGGGGAGGGGTGAGTACTTTCCCCCTGCCTGTAAACAGCAGGGCCACCTCGCAGCTGCTGGCTTCCTGGCCAAAGGGTGGCCCTCGTGAACCCTCCCGAGAAGCTGCAATTTAGGTATATTTAGGCAGGCCTGGCCTGGTTGACCATATTATAGGCGGTGGCTGCCAGGCCCAGAGGCACAGCCAGGACTCGCTCCCCTCCACCCAAACCCTTGTCATTAGCTAGCCCAACACCCCCACCCTGAAGAAGAGCAAAAACCACTTACAGGAGGGCCGCGGGGGCCGATGATGGACATGCCGGCGTCTCCTGGGGCCCCCTGGGGGGGGGGGGAGAGAGAGAGAGAGAGAGAGAGAGAGAGAGAGGAGAGGGACGGGGGGAGGGGTGGGCAAAGGAGGAGGTAAGGAAGCGAGGCTGGCAGGTGGGGAAGGGGAGTGGGGTGGGGGGTTGCCCAGCCAGAGGCCGGGAGAACAGAGGGGGCGGCCGGGGGGGGGGGGGGGGGGGGGGGGGGGGGGGGGGGGGGAGGAGACACCGGGGGCGCAGGGGGCATCCGGGAGGGAGTGAGAAGGGCAGCGGGAGGCCGGAGGAAGAGGGAAGAGGTGAGTGGTAGCATAAGATGTGGGACCAGGGAAGGGGGGACGGGACCCAGGCAGAAGAGGGAAGAAGGGATTCAGTGCAGGGATGAGCAAGGGCAGCTCAGGGAGGGGAGGGCACACAGCTCAGCCACGCCGCTGCTCAGGCCGCAGAGGCCCCCTCTAGGCCCTGCCCGGTGCCCTCCAATCTGCCCCGGCCCCACCCTAGCCTCAGAGCCTCTGAGGCCTTCGCCCGCCCCCCCCCCGGCCCCCCAGATGCCCATGTGGCGCACATCCCCGCAGCAGGTGAGCCGGGCTGCTCCGTGGATGGAGTTGCTCGGAACAGGGGTGGGGACAAGACCCATGCTCGCTGTGTGGGCCCCACGGCCCTGAGCCTGCAGGCGGGGGCTGCCTCGGACCTCCTAGGCCTGACGTGAGAGTGACACGGAGGGGTGAAGTCGGGCGAGAATTCTCAGCCCCGAGAGGATGGCGGCTGCTGCTGAGCTGGGAGCTCCAAGTGCCGTCCAAGGGTGGCCGGGCTGCCCAGATATCTACAGCCGTGTGGGGGGGGGGGGCGGGGGGTGCTGGGGGCAGGGAGGGCGACAGAAAGATGAAGGTGTCAGGGACACAGATGGGGGTCAGAGACGATACCCTGGCAGAAGGATCTAGACCATGCCCTGCTGTGCGGAGGGCTGACTGCTGCTTCCCACCAGGGGGGCTCCCAGGCCTCCCTCCCAGGTCTTGCTCTGCCAGGCAAGTCACAGAATCTCTCCCAGCCCACATCCGTCCTCTGTGAACTGGATGCTGAGGGCTGCTTGGCTACCCTTCCAAGCAAAGGCTCTAAATGTATTTGTGACTGTCACGCCTCACGCCCAGGTGAGCAGTGATGTCAGATTTGTAACTGTTTACATCACGGCAATGATACAGTAATCACTACACGAGGCGCGGTAGTGCAATGGCTAGGAGCCAGCCAGAACCCTTGGGTTTGAAGCCCAGCTCTGCTCCTTCCCAGCTGTGTCACCTTGGGCGACTTAACTTCCTTCTGCCTCAGTTTCCTTACCTGTCTCATAGGATGGGTGTGAAAGTTTCATGAGATAATGTTGTAAAGTGCTGAAAAGAATGCCCGGTGCATGAAGGGGCTAGCAAGTGTTTGCAATTGTCCTTAGGCACCGTGTCCTTCATCTTTCTCCCGGGCAGCGTGGAGCCGCAGGAGGGAACGCCGTGAGGGTGGGGCTCCTCTCCAGCTCTGTCACTTGCTGCTGTGTGACCTTGGGTCTGTGAAGCTGCCTCTCTGTGCTCTCATGTAAATAAGAATATTGAAGCCTCCCTGGAAGGGCTGCGTCAGTGTTAGTTGGGAGAACAGAGGCCAAACACCGTGGCACCTGGCGGTTTGTGCTTAGTACATCATAGCTGCGAGTGTTTTGCTGCCATTGTCATTATTTTGGAGATGGAGAGACTCGAGAAACATGCACTGCCATGTACAGGCAAGGAAGTACTAAGCTGGGCATCGGGAGGTCTGGCTTCTCGCCCCTGCTCATCATTATTGGTGTGGGATCTTCAGCAAGCCTCACCCCTGCTCGGGGCCTCAGTTTCCTTCTCTGTAAAGGGAACTGGTTAGATGTGTTGCTCTCTGATCCTTCAGGATCCACGAGCGCTAACGCTCAGAATGGTCTCGTGGGCTTCTGGCTTCTGAGCGGGGCTTCACTCTAGGCCCCTGGGAGTCTCTCTGGGGCAGCACGATGAGAATTTCTATGTCTGAGGGCACCAGCAGTAGGCTGGGGAGGGACTAGAACCAGCTGCCCCAAACAGCGATGGTGCTCCCCTTGGCTCGGGGAAGGGGGACGGCGAGGCCACAGGCAGACTGGGTGTGTGGCGAGACCCATGCAGCAGGGAGGCTGGGCCCTTAGCCAGGAGTCAGGGGCCCGGACACTGGGCCTAGAGAGCCTGTGAGGGCAGAGTGCTGGGGCCTGTATGCTGGGAGGGGGGCTGAGATGGGGGCCTCTGGAAGCACCCCGAGAATCCAAGGGGAAGAGACTGGGGCAGAAAGGTGGAGGGCAAAGTGAGGACTCACCTTCTCGCCTGGTTGGCCCTTTACTCCCTGGGGCAGCCACATGCAACGCAGGAGAGAGAGAGAGGGAGAGAAAAAGAAAAGATAAGAGAGAGGCACACGCGCGAGAATCTGTGTTAAAGGCACAATGACCAAACAAAAGAAATCGCTGTGAAGTAAGAAACAAAACAAAACATAGAAGTTGACACATGACAGGTGTCCCTCCTCCAACAAGCACAGTGCAGGGTTGGCTACCGATTTACCCCCCAGGGCCCGACAGTCTAGATAACTGAGAGAAACAGAGGCAAGATGTGTGTGTGTGTGTGTGTGTGTGTGTGTGTGTGTGTGTGTGTGTGTGAGACAGACAGAGAGAGAGAGAGAGAGAGAGAGAGAGAGAGAGGGAAACCCATCCAGGTCAGAAAATCTGCCTGAGAAGCCACGAGAAGCCATGTCCCCAGCTCACTGGGTCCCCGGAGGTGGTGGTGGTTGGTGGGGAGGGAGCATGAGGGAGACTTGTCCAAGGACTATGTTGTGAAGTGGAGTTTAGTTGGTTTGAAGGTCCACGTGAGCACCAAGCACAAAGTTTTGCCAAGCTACACACGCTGGGAGCCCTCAGGGCTGGCCAGGCAAGATGTCGGGAGAGGGACAAGAGGAATACGGGAGGACGGACAGTAGGACAGACATCTGAGAGGATGGAGGATGGGTCTGGGATGCAGAGCAAACTGGGCAGTCACCAAGGGTCCCTGTAACCACAGCAATGCGCAGAGAGACAGCTCCGATCTACCCTAATCCACTGAAGCCGGGGGTACCAGCTCTGGTGAGAACCACAGGGGCGACTCAGGCATTTCACACCCCCTGGCCACCCTCATCCTTATCAGGTGGCTGGGGCCAGGACTCCTACTGGGCAGCCAAATGGGTCCATTGTCACATTGAAAATAGCACAAGTAGCATGAAAACCCCAAGTGGCTGGAAAACAGAAATGGGGGGCTTCCTGTGGCCTTCCCTCCTGCCCCCACCACTGAGGGTCAGAACTCGGCTCTTGATGGACACTTCCTGGGTGCACACGTCCACAGGGGCCCAAGAAGGAGGGCAGGAGCGGGAGGGCAGGCAGTGGCACTCAGGGTACAGAGTCCTGACGCCCACCTGTTAGGAGTCAGGATCTCGGCGTCTGACAGTCAGCTTGGGTGCAAGCCCCAGCTCCACCCCCCAATCCCGGGCAAACTGAGCCTCAACAAGCTCATCAATAGGACGGGTTCCTGGAAGGCTCCGGTGGAGAACGTGCCTGCCTCAGGCCCACGCACGGCGAGCCCCTGAGAAAGGCTGGCTGGCTCGATTCTCCCTGCTGCACACAGGAAAGGACCAGTGACAGCCTGAGGGACTCAGGATTTGGAGTGAGAAAACTAAGGCAGAGGGACAGGGTCAGGCAGGACCTCGGGAAAGACACTTAACATCTGAGCCTCGGTTTTCTTATCTCAACAATGGGTGGAAATTGTGCCTCCCTCCGGCAGCTCTTGGGACCCAACGAGCTAGTGTGAGTGAGGCTCTCAGCACAACACCCAGTGCACAGTGAGCGCTCTCGGGTGTTAACTGTGACTCAGAGGCCTTTCCTCTGAGCACCGGGCTCACACCAGGCAAGCAAACTCCCGCAAGGATGCCATACCCAGGCCTAAGGCCAACCAGTGAGGAGGTGAGGTCACGAGGCAAGGCATGTGAGTGGCATAGAAGGATGGCATGGGCGGAGTTGGGGGGCCCCGGGGAGCCAGAGGGAGGTGGAGGCTGATAGCTCTATCAGGGGAGTCGGGGGCCGACGGGGAGAGTAGCCTGGGCATGTCCTAGACTCACTTGGTGCTGGTGAGGCCGGCGTGTGGCCATCACCCCCTCAGGCTGCCCCCAGTGCCTGAGCTGCCCTTTCTAGCCCCTTGGAGGCTAGCAGGCACCTGGGACAAGCCTGGCTCTGGGACCCCGAGATCTAGTGCCGGCCCTCCCATTTCTGAGCTATCCCCTCCCTGCGGAACATTCCTCTTTCTTCTCTTGAGTTCTCAGCAGGAAACATTCAGTGTCTAACTCCTAGCCTCACGGTGAGGATTTGGAGGCACCGCCTGGGAGCCAGCCCTGTCCCCCACCCGCTTCTAGTCTCTGTCTAGGGAAGGCACCCCTGGAAGCCGGGTCCGCTGCAGCTTCCATGGGCATCTGAGGCTGCATTTGTCACCGTCTGTTGCTGTTCTTGCTAGGGGGTGGTGGCAAAGGAGCTGGAAGTCTGGAGAGCTGCTAGCCTCGGGAGGTGGGGGAGCGGTGGAGCGGGTGGGAGTCCCCCTGAGGTCAGGAGGGGCTTGGGCCTCATCCTGTCCCTTGCGGGGGGATCAATAAAGAACTTTATCAGTGCCATTTCTTGGATTTTTCCTTTGCCATGGCAGCTGGATGGAGAGTAGAGTCATACTGCAAGATCTGAAGGATTGGAATAAGACCTCCTCCCTTCTTCTTTCCAGGCCCTCTCTGAAGCCGACTTGGGTGGAGGAAGAGAGAGGTCTGACCCCCTCCTTGGGGCTGGGGAGGTTGCCATGGTTTGGAGGACAGGGCGGCACGAGGAAGCAAGCAACGGCCACCCAAGCAAGTACAAACGCGCCAACTCACCACACGTCCAGGCATCCCAATGGCACCTTTGTCCCCCTGACGAAGGAGGCAGAAACAATTAGATGTGGCTGGAGCCAGGCCAGCATAGGAAGGACCCCATGGGCTAGCTATGCACCCAAGACCTGCTTTGCATGGGCGGTTGGGATGATGCCCACTCAGCCCCCAAGGACTGTTAGGCAAGCAGCCACCCCTACCACGATCTGCTCTCAGCGAGGTGCTGTGGAAAGTGCACTAACCTAGGAGTCTGGTCCCCAGCCTGAGCCTCAGCTTCCCTATGGCGTTTCATGAAGGGTCCAAGGCCCTTCCTCTCTTAGACTTCTGCTGTCACAAGTCTAGCTTCGGCTTCACCCAGGACGTGCCATATCCTTGTCCCGCTCAACTCCAAGGCACAGAGCCCGGTGAGTGGTGGCCCCGTGTGCCAGGGGAGCGGTCTATCTGTGCCAGAGCTGAGGCGCAGGGCCCACGTCCCCCAGACCCCCCGTCCGAGAGGTCTACGACAGCGTCCTCTCCCTGCCCTCCTCTCGGCGACCCCCGGCACCGACAGGAAGGACGGTGAGCCGTGTGGATACGGCCGCATGACGAGTTTCAGCCGCTCAGAGGGATCCACTTTGTTTTGTAGCCAGGGGTTACATCTTCTCCCTCTGGAAATCTGCTTAGTAAGTTTTGTTCCTCTCCCTTTTGGTAGAAAATATTTTTTTGCAATCATACGTGTGCAGACATCATAAAATCTGGGGTGGGGCCTGGGGTTCACTAGAAGTCTAGAAGGACAGAAAGCAATGGGGGCCAAAAATCAGATGGTGTTTGTTCTGGCTTCCTGGGCAGGAGAGAGCTGGGTTTGTGGGTTCCCCTGAAGGGTGTGGGCACTTCTGGGGCGATTCTGTGTCTGCTGACCCCACTGAGGCAACAAGCTTGAGGGACAATTAGCATCTCAAGATGTATGTGGATGCACCCAAGGACAGCAAGTGCTCTGAAATGAGGGTCTTCTTACACACAGGGGTCGGTGGTGTCTCTAGGAAATGGTTCACCCTTTGCAAAAGAGTGGTGGGGTAGCAGCATTGGTGATAAGCCTGGATCTGTTTCCATGCCTCCCTCAGCACCCGTGTCTCTCTCAAGGGGCTGCTGGAAGGATGCAGTAAATGATGCCCTGGGAAAGCCTTCTCCCAGCGCTTGGCCCCTGGGGTGTGTCACATATGCAGTGTCTACAGGTAGTGAGCCCGGCACGGCTGCGGGCAAGGGAATTATACAGCACGTTTGTGCTTCAGAGTTTTGCATTTCACAAGGGGCTGGCTGCAGCAAATCTTTTTTGCGGGTCCCTCCCAGGTACCCCCACGTGGAAGCACGAGGGGGACGAGGACCCAGGGGTCGGCGGTCCGCCCTTCCTGCTGAGGACACCAGGCCTGCCGCATGCAGGCTGTGACACCCCCATGGCCCGCTCACTCCTGGGCTTCTGAATGATATTGCAGGCTGTGTATTTTGGTTTCTCTTCGTTTCTTTTTTAAAACTAATGTTCTTTGCAGTCCTGGCCATAAAATGCTCGGGTTAGGGACAGGCATGGAAGGGCCAGAGACTAGGAACTCTGTGTAGCAGCCCCTGCTCTGTGAATTGCCCCCAAATGCTTTTTAAAGGTGGACGTTGTCAGAAAAAAACAAAGTCTGCCCACGTTCTCCCCAGTCATCTGATCTTTCCCCTCCTTGGATTTCATGGGACTGATTCGCCCATCCTCCTTTGCCCTGGGGCTCGGTACTTACTGGGAGAGTTTCCAGTTTCAAGGCTAAACACCCTCCCACATGCATTTCATTAAGAAAGTCACTGCTGGACTTGAATTCTAGAAGCTGCTAGATGAGTCAAGACATTACAGTGTAATTCACGTCTAAAAGAAGAGTAACCGGGATGCACAGAAGGGTCTGGAATCCAATGGATGTGGCCCTCGGTGCAGGGAGGGCAGGCCGGGGCCAGCCCCGGCTCGCCCTCCACACTGCACCTCGGCCCTCTAGTTGGCTCCCGCCTCTCGCCCGATTCCCCCCCCCCCCCCCCCCCCCCCCCCGCCATCCCAGGGCCCCAGGCATCTAGCACTCAATGCATCTATGCCCCAGGCTACATCCCACAGAGCCATGTCTCTGAAGACTTTACAGACTGTTCTCAAATGTCAAGCATGGACCATAGGAAACAGAGGTATGAAATGTGTGTGACAACATGGCCCCCACGGGTCTCCACTGAAGCTTGGACAATTGGACAAGATATTTTGCCTCTCTGAGTCTCAGTTTCCTCATCTATAAAATGGGTATGATAACAGCCATTTCACTGAGCTGTTGAACAAATCAAATATATGAAGAGCGATGAGCATAGTGCCTGGCCTGCAGTAGGGTCTCAATAAGAGATGGCTAGTGGTATTACTTCTACTTTTAATCCAAAGTCCCCATGGTTACTTGACTCAGCCTCTCTGGCATTCAGAAATGGTAACTGGGGGGAAAACAAAGTTTTTGTGTCCCCTTTTACTGGAGGTCATAGGACAACGGAGGGACAGTGGTCTTAAGCTAAGCTGGTATGCAGGAGGATAGCCAGCGAGGCCGGCCAGAGGCTGCCACCCTTCCAGACCCCCATTAGAGGGCCTTCAGTCTAGAGGTCAGGTCCAGCCTTGGAAGAGCCTGCATGCTGCCATCTGCCTGCCTGGGGCCCCAGGAGGGCTCCCCAGGAGCTTCACCCCCGGCTGTAGGTTAGAGGTGCTGGAGAGAGGCCTCTCCCCCAGACACACCTGAAGGAAAGCAGCCACCCAACCTCGCCAGCCCTTGGCGCGAGGAGAGCAGGCAAGGGAGATAGAAAGGAAGGATGAAGTTGAAAGCTACTTACTGGGAAGCCGGGTCTTCCAGCAGGACCCTGAAATAAAGAGGGAAAGAGTAAGGTTTACGAAGGTCACGGTGTTAATACCTGAGCGTCCCACACTCTGCCCAACCAGCTGCGTGGCCTGAAGCCAACTGTGCTCTAGAAGCCTCTGTTATTTTATGAACAACCTGAAGGCAGGACCTTGATCACTAAGCTTCCTTTCAGTTTTAGCATTCATTCATTCATTCATTCATTTAGGAAAGCAGTTAGGAGGGGTCTCCTCCATGTCAGGCCCAGGGAAGGTGCAAGGAGAAGAAAGACAAGAATGTCCCCTCCCGTGTCTCGGCCCCTCATGACTCAAGGATCATCAGGCTGTGGGTCTCACTCACTTCTCTCTTTGAGTCTTTCTGTCTCAGTAAGTGCGATATTCTACCACTCTTTTCCGGCCCGGAGTGGCTCCAGGTGCCCGTCTTCACTGACCACAGCATGGTCTTTCAGCTCTGTCCCCATTACCCTCCTCCTCCTGCTTAGCACAATCCGGGGCACACACTAAAGCCTCCATGTAATGGATAGGAAATCCCACTGGAAAGAGGAAGACCTTCAACAAAATGTGTATCAGTGCTGATAATTACCATCTGAGCAACATGCAGAGCGGGTGGCTCCGAAACCAAGCAAATCCCAAGAAAATCATGTCTTTTTAGTTCTGGCGCTCAGCTTCCAGATGGATCTGCTACAAGAGGGTGGCTGAGAAACAGCTCAAATGGTGCCTTGGGGGCATCAGGGAGCACCTCGTAAAGGGGAGGAAACACCTGCAAAGAGCTTCTGGAGCTGAGACGCAGCGCTGGCAGGGCCGGGGCACGGAGTCCAGGAGAGGTGGTGACAGAGACGGTAGGAAGGATTTAGTTACAAGCACGGGCTCTGGAGTCAGCCTGCCTGTGCTCAAATCCCGGCTCTGTCACTCCCGAGTTGGCACCTTAATGAGCTGTTTGGTCTCCCTGTCTCTCAGTTCCCTCATCTTGTAAATGGGAGAACAATGACAGCTATCTCTTAGGATCACAGGAGATAATGTATGCCAGACACAGGGGCTGGCATACAGCAAGTGCTAAATAAATGCTACCTATTACAGTTATTGGAAAAGAGCACTGGCAGGAGGTGTGTGGAGCGGGCCTCGGTTTCTCCTTGCGGAGGAGACTTTTGCTACAGATGTATTTTCTCTCCTTCCAGACATCCTGCTCTTCCTGTGACGCCAAGGCAGGACCAGGGTCCCGGGGTGCTCACTGGAACACCAAGACCATCTGCTGCAGGGCTGCTCAGGCAAAGCCGGGCAGCACCAGGAATAAGTCATCCCCCCTCTGGCCCTTGTTCCTGAGGACACCCCGGAGGCGGCGGTGCAATGACTCACCCACGGAGAATCGAGGTCAGGGAGTCCTTGGGGAATGCTGGGTAATGGTTCTCATGGGAACAGGATGCATCCCCATCTCTTCACTCTGCTTGATTTTGCCCCCATGGCACTAAAAAGTAAGCTCCCTGGGGCAGGGATTTTTCTGTTTTGTTCCTGAATGTGTTTCCAGTGCCTTGAGGAGTGCTGAGCTCATGGTCAGTCCTTTATTCCTATTTGTGGACCAAGGAACCTGAGGGCGAATGCTCAGAACCTGGGAACTCGGCCTCCTTCTTTCCCAGGCCCCCACAAAGACAGCTCAGGCACCAAATTAGCCTCCTTAATCCAGAGTTTTCGCACTGAGCCAGTACCATCTTCCTGTCACTTCTACGTTGCCTGGTCCTGATGCCACCAGGGAGTGGGCAAGACATGGGGCAGCCACCTCCTTCACATCCCAGGGAAGGGAACAGGCCTGCTGAGGGTTTCCAACCCCACACAGTGGGTCTACCCCAAATAGGGACAGAAGGGACAGATTACTACCACTCCTCTGTACCCACCACCTACTCACCCTACCTCATCTGCACATGGGAGGGACTTCCTTTGGGTCTCAGTACCAGGAAGAGCTGTGTTTCACTCAAGCGCCAGGGGTGCTCCTACCTTCCTGCAGCCTGACTTGAACAACTCTGCTTTCCTCTTTGCTCTGGCCACCAGGAAGCTCGGAGCCTAGTCAGTGGCTCATCTTGCATAAGAGGTTGTCATGTCATTAGCTCTGGATCCTTCCTGCCTCGGCTCCCCACCCTCCTCCATCGTTTCCATTATCTCGTTTGTAAATCACCCCAAAATGTTTTTTTTAGAATAAGGTGGGTAGAAATAGATGAAATAAATAAATTAATAAAAACCATAGAATAATCATTTCCTCTTTAAAATGAAAGGCTTACCAGAATCTTTGTGGATCCTCTAGGGTTTAAATGAGTTAATATATTCTAACTGGAAATATATTCTAACACACACTTGTGTGTGTGTGTATATATATATATATATATATATAAATACATATATATACACGCAGACACATACCATTACATATATATTCCTCACAACTCCTGGAAGAGGCAGACACTATTACTAACCCCATTTTACGGATGAGGAAACCGAGGCCCAGAGAGGTAAAGCATCTTGGCCAAGGTGACGTAGCTAGAAGTGGCAGAGCCGGGCTTCGGATGCAGGCAGTCTGCCTCCACAGCCCATGCCTGCATCACTACGCAAACACAACAGTGCCTAACAGCTAGTAAGGGCTAACTAGGATTTCAGCAAGGATCACCGTCAGTCAGGGTGGCAGCTGGACATCATGTATTTCTCTGTGTTCCTCCGGAGAAAGAGGCCTCCCTACCTCCCTCCGCCTTCTGTTTCAGCTTCACAGTTCCCATTAAGAAGTTCTGTGAAATCTACAGCAGGCGTGGCCCGCAGGTGTCAGCTCCAATGCGCAGACTCCAGTGGATTGGCAGCGACTGAGTAAAGCGTTCTGTTAGGAAGCCTCCTGATTGATTAGCAATGTCTGCCATGGGCACAAAGGGTGGGGGGGTGGTATCCACAATTTCTCTACCATCTAAATGTTTCTTGCTGCTACTTAAATCCATCCTCGTTGGTTGTGTTCTCTAGGCAGTGGCCGTCCTGTGTCCTTGGGAACCTGGGTCTTCCAACTGGAGGGGCTCCTGAGAGACACTCAGGGTGGCAACAGGCACTGCCACCAGCCACCACCTCTCTATCCCTTGCCTCCCTCAACAGCATTCTTCCTTTGCAGGAAGCAGATAGAACAGGGCTAGGAGGTGACTCCCACCCTGGCCAGCTTCCCATTTCCTCCTTGTGGTTTCAACCAGGGAAGGGTGAAGGTGCAGGCCACGCACAGAGGCCGGGTCGGGAAACTACTTGGGCACCGTCTCTGGCTGGGAACCATCTGGGGGGTGAGGCCAGCAGGTGAGGCTTCATCCCGAGCTGACACTGGCAGCTTGGCCCGGCAGCCTGGGGGTGGCGGGGGGATGGGCCGGGTGTCTGGAGGGGGGAGCTCCCAGGAGTGGGGGAAGTAAGGACTCTTTTTGGCTTTGTCAAGAAAGAAGAGTTTTGAAAAGCAGCCCATTTCCAGCAGGTGGTCTGTTGAAGTTTCCTATGGTGGAGTTTATTTTGGAAGATTGATGACAGGAATTGAGATCTGACATCTAAAACCTGCCATGATAAATCATCCCCCTACTTTTGGGGACTGACACGGTTTTCCTCCCTCTGTAAGCGGCGGTCGGAGAGCTGGGCAGGACGGGCAGCATGGACTCAATGAGCCTTTTCAGGACCAGACGGGATAGTAAATAATGGTCTGACTGCAAATTGGGCCGGCTGCTCTCGAAGGGCAGACGGAGAGAGGACCGACCGTGCAATGGCGGCTCTGAGCAAGGCCAGGGATAGCGCTGCTTTCAGGAACCTTGACAAAGATCTGGTGTGGGGGCTCCCCCTTTCGACTCCAATCCCCAGCTTCCCCCCGCCCAACCCGCCAACAACCTCTGGGCCTTTTGTTGGGGTATCAAATGCTGTCCTCAAAGAAGATGTGCTCCTATTCTCCGGATCCATTACTTCATGGAGACAGTCTCCTTGGGCTCTTCTCAGGTTCTTTGGAAGCGATTGGGCTCCCGGCCCCGCCCTGGGCCTTAGGGCAACGCCAGGGGAAGGAGCCGGACCTGCGGTTATCTGTGTTGTGTCACACGGTCCGGCCCACTGAAACTGATCTCTCACATCAAAATACCACCAGCACCAGCGCCACCAGCAACGACCACCTGCTGACCACCTAAGTGGGCCAGAATGGAGCCACCCACACAGCAGGGTGGACAGCAGGTCCCGGGGAGCAGTCCACGCGGAGCCACGTGCTGGCTGACCTGTCTCCTGAAAGGCCAAGAGACCTTTCAGGACCAGAACTGAGTAGAGATTATCTTTCTTCTTTCTTAGACCTGGAGCTTCTTTGAGTCCAGTTGCTTCCTCTGGGGACAAAGGAGCTGGGCCTAACAATGGGGCAAGCCAGCCTTTCAGATTGAAATTGGGACCCGCTGTGCCCCAGGGGCAGCCATTGTCTTGCCCTGGAGAGGTGCAGAGGTGGTTGGAAAGTGAAATGGAGGCCTCCCTCCCCGTGTCAGCATTCTGGAGGGACCCCGCAGAGTTGTACGGAGAGTACAGGGGCTCCCCTGGAAGACGGCGGGCCCAGCTGTCAGTCCCCCCTCCCAGGGCCCGGTTACCAGCAGGGAGCGAGGCCTTTCAGATGTGCTAGCCCCGGCTGCGGCTGGAGTTACTTACAGGAGGTCCTGAAAGAGACAGAGAAAATGCCAGGGTCAGTGTCACTGCTGGAAGGACAGGCAGACCTGCCTCAGAAGCAGCGTCCAAAAATCCTTCGGCTAAGGGGTTTCCATCTGGTCTTCGACGTTTGTATTTTCCTGGCCCACTTTCACCAAAATAATCTCTCCCCCTTTATTTCGTCTCCATAGTTTCATTATTGGATGAGAAATCTAGAGGTCTGGGCCCCAGGCGCAGCCCAGCTGGGGCCCTAACTTCCCGCCCCGTAAAATGGGCTCCTGGGGGGCCCGCCCCAACCTGGGGACACAGTTGCTTTGCAGAACACAGGGCCGTGGGCACCGAGGCGACATTG